AGATGTAGAAAAGTATTGCTCTCAGTGTGACCTCTGCTCTGCTAGGAAACCCTCCAAAGCTTCACTTAGGGCCCCTTTACAGCAGTATTTAGTAGGTGAGCCCATGGAGCGTGTAGCTGTTGACATTCTTGGTCCACTTCCCCCAACAGAAAAAGGCAATAAGTACATATTAGTCATATGTGACTGTTTTACTAAGTGGACAGAGGCATTTCCTATCCCGGATCAAGAGTCTTGTACAATTGCAAGAGTCATAGTTAATGAATTTATATGTAGATTTGGAACCCCACTTCAACTCAATTCTGATCAGGGGAGATCGTTTGAATCAAATCTTTTCAAGGACATGTTATCAATGTTTAGAATAGAAAAAACAAGAACTACAAGCCAAAGACCCCAAGCTAATGGGGCAGTTGAAAGATTTAACAGAACCTTAGTCAATATGTTAACAATGTATTGTAACAAAGATCAAAGGCATTGGGATGAAGTATTACCACAATTAATGATGGCTTATAGGTCATCTGTCCACTCTAGTACAGGCATTTCACCAAACATGATGATGTTGGGACGAAACATAATGATGCCCTTTGAAGTTGTTATTCCAAGGCCAAAACAACTGAGCGATGACGAGATATCAGAACCAGAAGATTTTGTCCAAACTTTGCAGGAAAGATTAACAAAAGCACATGATGTTGCCAGGAAAAACCTAAAACAGAATGCAGACTATCAAAAGAAGTACTATGATACCAAATCCTGTTGCAGATTCTTTGAGGAAGGCCAACCAGTGTGGCTCTATGATGCATCTAAAAAGGTAGGGGTGTTCAGTAAACTTACATGCAAATGGAAGGGACCATATGTTATAACTAAGAAGATAGATGACGTCACCTTCCTGGTTCAGCGATCTGAGAAACAGCGAGGCAAGGTGTACCATGTTGACCGATTACTTCCCTACCATGGCAGAAACCCTCCAAGATGGTACCAAAAACAGAATAGGGAATAGCACATCAGAGTTCTTATTAAATTTAGAGACTGTATGACATGTCATTTTTTTTGTACTATATTTTTTTATAATCTTTGAGGCCAGTGAAGGGAGGTGACGGGCGTGTGAGGTCTATGGCCTGCACCATTGGGTATTGGGAGGGGACGGAGGTCTGCACTCTATGGCCCTTGCCCAAGTGGTGACAGGAGGCGACGGATGCGTGCAGCCTATGGCCCTCACTGGGTTGATATCTGGATGCAAAGGGCCCTGCATCTCAAGGTGTGACCATTGCCTGTGTGTAGATAGTTGTATGTTGTTGCTGGCAGAGGTGCTGCTGTATTATTATTATTGATTTTTTTTTTTTTTTTTGGTAATTGTTGTTGGTCTCTCTTGGTACCATATATTTGATGTTACTTCAATGATAATTTGGTTATACTCCATCTATCATTGTCGGAGGTATTAGCAAGTCCTATAACCCATTATTTCTCCCACCTGGATGAATTTATATATCTTAGCCCCTTGCCCAAGCTGTAGCATGTATGCCCTCTATACCAATAGAAAATTTACATTGCCATTTCCATCTGTTATTTCCTAGATTTAGCCCCATCCCAAGTAGTCCTATAGCTGCCATGGTGCTACTTTGATATTGTATTATAATTCCATAATAACCTAGAGGTTAACACGCCTTTATTAGAAAAATTATATTTCCTTCCACAGAATGTTCCAGTGCAACCTAGAGGTTAATGGGGAACAGTGCAGGCTTCAGTTTGAGAGCCGACGAAAGCTCAAGGAGCATTTAATGCCAGCGCCACACTGTGCCATGAAAGTAGTGTGCCCTTTTTGTATTTCAAAGGAGAACACTTTCAGTCGGCCCGCCGATCTGAAGAGCCATGTCCTGAAGCGCCACAAAGAGTCCCTACCATCTGTTAATGTCCCTGTGGATGATCTTTTCTCTGAAAATAACTGTTTTTGGATCGCCTGCCAACCCTCCTTGTATAGATCGCTGGTCGAGCCGACAGAAAGAAATGCAAGAGCTTCCGGGAAGTTGCGAGCCCTCCTCCTCGACTGGACAAGGAAGGTGTCCTTCATTCCCAGGCGTTCCAGGCAGGAGTGGTTGGAAGGGTGGGAGTCCCAGGCCGTGAACTTCTCATCTGTGGTGTCTTGTCAAGAATATAACCCTGGCTCTCCTAGTTTGTTCACTATTGCTTCTATTTCCCTGGTACCTAAGGCCTTGACAGCAGTGCTGGAGGATGATGTGAATTTTTATAGCATTAATCTGGAGGATGGGGTGCTCCTAGATCCAAGGGGGATTGCCAGCCTTTCCAGGAAAATGGCAGTGCTGAAATCTGAACCTGTTACTCCACCTCTGGCAAACTTCAGACCATTAAACCTACCAAAAGAACGAACAAATCATTTCGCAACATCATTGGGTATAGAACAGAAGTACATTAAGTCAGTATTAAAATTACAAAAACTTCAACCAGAAATAGAATTATTTGCTGAGTCTGATATTGAATCTCTGCCATCCCCAGCCCGCGCTGTTGTCACCAAGACTCCCAGCCCTAATAAAATCAAGGAACCAGAAAAGAAGAAAATCAGATTAGAAGAATACCAGGCTACCAGGTCACAGTCCATCTTGTGTTCCTTCCCTGTCTCTTCTCTTTCTCCTACATCAGCTTCCTCTGCCTTCTTGGAGATGCCAGCCTCTGTCCCCAAGGAGACTCAAGTCATCATTCCTCCTGAGCCTGCTGCTGTTCCTGTACCTGCTCTCTCTCCATCCCCTGAGGACCCTTCCCTTGGGTAACTGGCAGTACGGGCCAAGAAGCTACTTTCCACTGGCTGTATGCCACTACTTCCACCAGCTAGACGTCAATGGGAGCTTGATGGGGCCATGACAATCCCTTGTGGAAATGCCTCTTTTTCCTGGCCACCAAAGATTTTTAACCAGCTAACACCTGACCAGAAACTTCTTGAACTTGAATTTGCTGCCATGTCCCTGAGGAGGAACATTCCAGGGAGTGATGGAGGAGTCGATAGGAGTTTCCTAACCGATGAGTTTAACTTCCTTGCCCTGCCAGGAACAGCTGTTCTCTCTCCGAAGAAGACTTCTTATCCAGCATCTAAGAGTCGTGTCTATCTTTACCAAGCTGTGCGTTCTATTGCCATGGGTAAGAGTCACACCCAACAAGATGAGGCCATGATTTCTTTTCTGGAGGCTGGTAGTGCTAAACGGGACAACCTGTGGGACAAGGTCATCTTCATGATTGATGAAGCCAGGATTCCTCTCCGTCTTACAGAGTGATACATGTAGCGAAATGACATTATTATGAACTGATGATGTATACAAATATTGCTGTACATATTGTTATTAACCTATGTAATGAATTCTAAATCTCTTAATTAATTCAGGAGAATTAAGTAACTAGGGAGGGGGAAATGTAAGGACCTGTCAGATGTCTAAAATTTTACTATGGTTTACTGTGTAATCATAGTAGGGCGGGTGGACTTTACTTGTAATATTATTTCATGTGTGTCAAAACGTTGTGCCAGAATTGGTCAGGAATGTTAAAGTTTGCATTTATTTTTTCATACCATGAATTAGTTACCTTTCATCTTAAATCTGCATGTATTTCTTGAGTCAACTGTCATTATCTTATTAATTCTACATGTGTAGATTAGCTGCAACACTTTAAATCATCTGCTGCCATGCAACTTGTTTACATCCTGTCTGCCATCTTTATCGGTGCATGTTAAGTAGATCAGTTAGTTTCGTATTTAACCTCATGTTATTCATGTTACATTACAGGCATAATTACTTGCTATTAATTATGTTAATTATCATTGTGATTTCTAATATTCATTTTAGTAATTGTTATTCCCGATTACATGTGTCTAAAGCTTGTACTATATTTTTATCCATCCGCGATATCGTCTGCATACTCAGCAAGTTTACTTCTGTGAAATTTACAAGTTTCAGAGATAAATTGTTTACTTACTTATTATAGACACATCTTTTGTCATCCATATTTATTGATTATTTTGTCTTTTCACAACTTAATTCCTGGGTTTGTTTATAATCCATATTGTACGACAACTTTGTTTGACAGTAGGACACGATTTTTATTTTGTACGATGTCGTACATTGTCGTGATTGGTGGAACGTCGCCGTACAGCATTTGTATTGGTTGAAACTTGTCATGTGACCCTTTTCCGAAGGTTATATATAAGGGGCGATCGCATTATGTCATCAGATAATTTGCCGAGTTGTCAGGCGCGTAAATTCAAAGTGGAGATCCAAGATCCGCCCATATTTTCACCATAGCCATACTATTGTGATTCCAGGTGAGAAAATGTTCGACAATTATCTCCCAACACACTGGACACCTATTTTATTGTAATTAACTCTGGAGATCATCCTACTAAAGCCATTGTACACCCCCCTTTTTTTTATAATAGTGGCCTGTACGGTAGACGCCACCAATATGAATTGTACCTATTCAGATGAAAACTATATTATGCATGATTAATAAATGTTATTGAAACCAAGATGAATCTTATGTTTTCCCTATTACCAAGGGACCAAGGATTTTAGTACAGGAGTACTGCCAGTTATTATTTTGTAGCGTCCCCAATTTAAGCTTGGCCATTCATGGGGAGCTTACAATACTTTGTTTATAAAACAAATTCAGTAAATCTTTGTTGCTTTAATTCATATCCTACAAGTGTCTGTAATCCAGATTAAACATGTCTTCAAGAACATTAGTAAATAAACCTCTAAAATATAACCACGGCTGGACAAATAAGATAATGAAGAATGGAACACATTTTAACATGATGGATATACATTCTGTTTTATTCATATCAGCAAATTCATAAATACCACAAACATCATGTTGTTTACGATACTTATTATCTGTATAATATTTTCATTGCAATGTTCCCAATGCAAAAACAAATTTTTGAATCTTTTCTTTTTTTGCCATGATCTGTAACAAAAGAACTTAACATCAACATATACTTGCTGTAAAATCTTTACAATCTCTTTAGAAATGACTCATAAGATATTTATCTACAAAATACCATTCAAATTCCAAAGTGGCAAAACTGACAACATTTAATTACATAACAACATTTTTCTTTACAAGTGGGTCTTTGCCAGAGCAAGAACCCATCTATACACTAAAAGTACAATTTTATAATAAAACATTCAAATCTCTCGTAAAAATATTTGAAGTCAATTTAATATTGAAGGACATTTCAAAAACAAGACTTACATATATATGCCATTGTTTGTTATGAGCAGGTGTATTAATGTTTGTGAAATGAAAAAAATAACAACATACTATGAGCCATTCATCACAATCACATTTACAGGATTTATTTCAACTAACAAAGAATATCTTTAATATTTACATGTTATTTCGATACATAATAAATGTGCTGCTGAATTTTTGTCAAATACTGTCAAAAGAGAAAATGAAACGTGTCATAAAAAATTACCTATATACAGTGACATTAAACGTAACATCTTCTAGTTTTTCTACAATTGATAAATAAATATTTCTCCAAGATAAAACTGTATACAATTAAATAAGTATATATTCAAACCAAATAGAAGTATCTATATGCACTAAATGTCGAGTGCAAAAAATGGATAATACGTTTTTCAAAGCATCAATTGTTACATGTATTTACTTGATAATTGATCTAAAAATAAGCAGTCAACTTATTACAGTGAAAATGTACATGTATATATGAAACCTGGATGTATTTCAGTCTATCTAAAACTTTGTCAACAATTAAGGTCTGATGATACAATAATTGAATATTCATGTATCACTTCATAATATACCAGAAATATTGATATTTATTATTATCTTCTGATTTCTTAACTGTTTTCATAATGCCTAAAACATACATGTATATAAACAAAAAATTATTATGTCAGCAACTTAAGAGATTTCCAGTATAATTATATAGCTAATACTCTTCTCTGATATCTTGCACAAATGCCTGGTAACATACCTCAACTTTTTATGAGAAAATTTGTTAAACAAGCAATACTTGAATCATTAATTCTTAAAAAAAAATTATATATTACATGTACTGAAGAATGTACTGTCTGTCCTTTAAGATATACAAATTGCACTATAAAATCCTGCACTATATATCTCAATGTTTAGATATCTTGTAAGCATATAAAGACAATGAAAGAATACCCACTAGGTTGCCAGGTATATCCTGTACATATAGGTGTCAACATCTTTCAAAATACAATAGACTTCTGTTCATTAATACAGAAAAATATTTTTCAGATTCTTCCATTTCTAGGCTAGCACAGTGCCTTTTTCATAAATAGATCTAAAGTGAAGATACCACTGATTTGATAAAATATAAAACTATATTTCATAAATCAAGATTGAATAGTGTTGACCCAAAAACAGATCATAAATAATATTTCCTGCTTATCAGCTTTTATCCTAGCATCTCTGAACATAAGCTTAGAACCAAAGGGCCCATGTTCTATGTAGACATCCACATTAAACGATTCCAGAATATGCTCTGACTATCGTTGTCCAATAAAGGAACCAGTTTAATCAGCCATCAGTGAAGGAACCAGTTTAATCAGCTATCAATAAAGGAACCAGTTTAATTAGCTATCAGTAACAACAGATTAAAAGTCTCAGCTGAGGGTTCCATCTTCATCCTCCATGTTTTCTAGCTCTGAGTTAGGGGAGGGGCCATCATCAAATCCCCCCGTCATGTTGAAAGGAGACATGTTACTTGTGTTGTCATTATCATTTCCAGAGAAGAACTCAGTCTCTGTGTCCGCTGAAGAGGACTTCTGAAGCAGAAAATCAAGTGGTTTTATAAGTTTACTGTGCTATACAAACTAGTTAAAACATGGGAGATTTTTATAAGTCTTGTGACTTTTTCATTTACTTTCCAATTCTGCAAAGTTGTTAAAGTGTTTTGTTGAGACCTTTAAGGTGCAATCTGCATCAATGCTAGAAAACTATGTATATGTGTAAAATTGGAGTTGGTTTTTCTCACTTAATTTTATGAGCATGTTGTGTTTAGCTGTGTTATATGTCTGTTAAAAGATAACAGTGTATAGTTATCTTGAATTTAAATAATTTCTTTTTCATGCACATAGCCTTAATTCAAGTTTGTTACATATACAATTGTAAAATATACCCTTATTAAAATGTGTTCACAAGCTATCATGAGACTGAAGGAAAGATTTTAAACCCTGGGCATGCCTGTGACAGGGCATACAATGCTCCTTCATCTTGCCCATAATCTTATTTTCCAGAGAGAAAAACTACCTCATCTTTATCAGGATCCTGGTCCTCAGTCTTAGGACTAACAAACGAGGAGAAAGGAATCTTCTGTGCATTGTCCTCATCTTCTTCCTCCTGAAATACACAGCTTATTTTTAACTTTCTTCAACATTTAACACACTTTCAAATCTATGTTGTCCATATTTAAAAGTTTGATACAAAATTTGCTAAAATTACAAGCCTAAATAGCAAAACAGAAAAAAATATCACGAGAAAATGTGCCTTTTCTCTGTATAAAACCCAAATATGTGACTATTTGATTTTGAATATTTGTAAAGATAAACACATGGAGTGACACACCTTGACTGTAATTAGAATTAAACAGACAAAGACAATTTCATTCCACACCCACCTGTCCTGATGTCCTAATGTCGCTGGGTGTGTTAGACCTGCTGCGACTTTTGGGTTTATTTGTGTCTGTTCTTAGAGCAGCCATTTGAATTTTGATTTTGTCTATCATCCACTGTGGGACAGAGAAGCCTTTCAGACTGTTCACATGTACACTAGGATTGTCTCTGTAGTACAAAATCCATCATTTAAAAAAGACCATCAACATCAACTTACACAATACCATTAGAAAAAGCACAGGTGCCCATAATACTGTGGAATCATCAATGTTCGTGGGGGACCATTGTTCGTGGATTTCGTGGGTCACCCTTATCAACGAATTTACATCCCCACGAACAATTATTTTGTCAACATATTTATTCATTGAATCTACTTTGTATACGAGTTACCCACGAAATTACATCCCCACGAACCAACAAAATTTTGCTTCACCACGAACATTGACCCCCACGAATATAAATGATTCCACAGTATGCCATTTCTGCCAAAATTTTACATATCCTGAGAAATTCAAAAAAAAAAAAAGAACAGAATTTCATCATCAAACTATTCCAATACTACATATGGATTCTATACATGGGTATAATTTCTACGAAATGTATTTTTTTATTAATAAAAGAAGCAGGGAAAAGTCCTTGTACAGTATTTTGTTTCTAAGCAATTCCTCATCTGTCACTCAACTTTCTACAAATTTGGGGATAAAAGTATCTGCAGAATGTAGGACATTGGGTTTTAAGTGTTTGTAGGTAAAATGTAAAGTAATTCATAATACATACTGGTAAATAGTCTATATATTTGATTGGTGCAAATTAGACATTTTTACTAGTTTAGCATGTAATTTTTTTCTACTGCAAAAATTCTATTGCCAAAAATTCCAACAAAAATGGTAATGTCAAGTACATGTAATCAAGATCAGTCCATACTTATAATCGTCTTCTAGAGCCAGGTCTCGGATGTCCTCCAATATCAACATGTAAGTCTTCCCTCCAGTGGCAGGCATGTGTTGATTCTCATACAACCACACCTTATCATCCTGGTCACCAGAGTACTGAAAATTCAACAACCTTCAACATCATCCATTTTTTTATTATTATTCAAAAAACAACATCATACATTTTCTTTTTGTACAAAAGCCACTATCTTTGGAAAAAATCCAATTAAACTTTTGATTTCAGCAATGGAAAAGAAATTTTCTAGTAAGATTGATGCAAACCATTTCTGGCATTTTTAACACCTTTAAAACAGACACTAAGCTAAAAAAAAACGTGTACTTGAAAAAAAAATCAATCTGTACCTTGAAGGTCTCAGGATGTTTGATGTAAATTCTTCCTCTTGTTGCCCCCAAACCAAGTGCCCTAAAAAGTAATATTTTGAAGGGTTTTTATTGTAAATATCTATGGATGTTACAAAAATATTTTTTTTAAATCTTTGATATTGGTAACCAGCATTGTTATTAATTGAGGTGTTTAATTTCGCCTGTGGCTGGTTCTTAAGGAATTACTGGGTACATTTGTACAGGTAGTTAAACATTAAATTAAAGATATCTTTTAAAAATTCTCACTTATTTGCCTTGGCACCCATTACAAAGAGAGTTTCAGTAGTTAGCCTGTCACAATCCCACTGAAAAAAAAATATATCTAAGTATTACACCTGTAAATGAAGAATTCCTAACATATTTTATTTCTAGTTCCAACAATTATTTCAAGTAAGTAATGATTTCAAAATGATCCATTAAACATATTCATTATCACAAATTGATTTGAATATTCAGGTGGCCTTTATCTCTACATGTACAATGTAAATTTGAGGAATGTTCACCTTTGGTCCTTCTCGCTTAATAGGATCATTTGTCTTCACAGTTTTAGATGGAGTACTCCTTCTGTTGAAGATAAAACCACAGAGTTAGTGCCAATTACACTTAAAATTTAAGATCATTGGATTAATCCTGGGATTTATTTTATTTTTCTGAATAAAATGTTTTCAGGGTCTGAAAACACGGCTTCATTACTTAAATCACTCCTTTACTTAATAACAATGGAATCAATATATTCCATATTGTTGTTTATTTGTTAGAACTTACCCTGAAACATATAATGGAGGTCGGCCTTTCTTCTGTAATAGAAAATTATCAAAACTAGTAATTCATTGGTGGAAAACATTTTCTTAAATTCTTGGATTTTTTTTTTACTTAGACTGGCTTTGCCTTTGATTAAGCACTCTGTATCTAAAGCACTGTACAAATATTTTCTTGATCTTTAACTATGTAAAGCAGCCCTTGCCTTTCTTGGAACGGGGAGGACACTCTTCTCTGAATCCGTATCAGATCCTCGTCTTTTCCGAGGGACAAGCTGAAACAACAAGAAAATCATATTCATCATTTACCATATTGACCAACAAAGTGGGAAATAATTTACCATGTTTACCATGAAACAGACTTAAGTCAAATTTTCAATGACTGAAAGATGTTTATTGTCAACTTAAAACTCTAAATTTTCAAATAACAGTTCTTTGATAATGCAATATTGAATAATATTTATGTTTTGGACTGTTTGACTTCAACATCATATTATATAACATACAGACTTTGACTTAATGTTTCATGATCCTGTGACCTGGATTGTGAATGCTTAATCTGTGAAAAAATAGGTTTCCCATTAATCAAATACAGCTGTAGTATTGAGAGAATGACACACCCTTCTACTTCCTGTGCTGCCTGTTTCTGAGACCGTGTCCGATATTTCTGGTCTGGTGGGAGTAAAACTTTGATCTGTACAGTACATTTTCTTGGCCTGAAATTAGAAGCAAACTACTTCTCACATTTTATATTTATTAAAAAAAATTCCTAGAGAATTTAACCCTAATAAACTACCGTAGTTCACCTGATAACATGAGCATGAGCAAACACAAAAACATCTTGATATACCTACCTCCTCTAAGATTTGTCTACAAACAGCCTGTACATGCTCCTCATTGACAGAATTCTCTCCATTGTTAAGCTTTATATTTCTTATCCCTGGGTTGAAAAATTTCTAAAAAGATAGGACATGTGTAAAACTAAATGCCCATGGGCCTTGACGGTCACCTGAGTATCATGAGTTTCACTCTGGCCCCATCTGACTCCTAAACCATGAGGATATGAATTTTAATTTTTGTAGAGTACTAGCTGCTTACTTCAATCATGTAAACATTTTGCTCACTGGGTGTCCGTGAGTAAATGAGGATTTTCAAATGTGTAATGTTATCTCAATACATGACCATCTAAACCCTTCCCTTAAACCAATTTCACAATTTTGGTAGAATGGTAAGTGTTTATAATAATCATGAAAATAGATGTCCATATGTAAAGAAGAAGACTTCGAAAAATGTAATTATTATAACTTAAACCCATCCAGGGGCTAGAACACTGGACACAGCAGCCCTGAATTTATTTTGACATATCCATGGTATTCAAGATATCGGAGTTCGATATACTGAAGTTCAACTGTATTTCCAACTAATTCCCACCCTAAGGCCTCAACTCTGAACCAAGCCATGACTTACATAATTTTGGAAGAGGGCCACTTGCTCTTCCTATCCATGCATTCAGTTTATCTTCAAGATGTGCAGGACTAGAAAGGATTTTCAAAGATTAAGAAGATTTTCACTATATGCCTATTTTGGCTCCACAAGGGAGGTAGAATTTCTGCCTTGGGGGTCATGAAAAACTTAATTTTTGTAGAGGGCCTAAACTTCTTCCTCAACATACAGTCAGTTTATATTCACAGTGCGTGGGAGTAGTGTATAGGATTTTCTAAGACTAAGAACATTTTTATTATAAGACCATTTTAGCCCAAACCTGAAATTAGAACCTCTGCCCTGGGGGGTTGGGGGTTGGGGGGGGGGGGGGTCATGAAAAACATAATTTTGGTAGAAGGCTCATGCTCTTCCTCACCATGCATTCAGTTTATCTTCAAGAAGTGCAGGAGTAGAGATATTTTTTTTAAAGATTAAGTACATTTTCACTATATAGCTATTTTGGTCCCGTCTTGGAGGCAGAACTCCTGCCCTGGGGGATGGGAAAATTTTGGTAGAGGGTCTTATTCTCTTCCTCTTGTCATGCTTGTCTTCAAAATGTGCAGCAGTAGAGAAAAAGATTTTTCAATATTTGACTATTTTTAGCATTTTTTGCCCAGCCCCTGGGTCCCAGTGGTACAATGATTTCAAAAATCACAATTTAAGTTCATCTTATATCTAACATGCTTCACATCAAATCTGAAGACAATTGGACAAATAGTGTTCCAGAAGAAGTCAAACATATTCAATTGTTAATGGACAAAGGACAAAACACATTGACAGATGAAGACCAATCACAATATGCCACCTGAGTGACTCAGGTGACCTAAAAAAGGATACATACATGTACAGTGTATCATGTATGATTGGAACTGGAATTTTTTCATTGATCTTTTAACAGATAATCTCTGACCTCCATGTAATCTTGAATGATGACATCAATTTCTTTGTTGATGAATTTCTGTAAGTTTTGTCTTAAGATGTCCAGAGATTTTGCAGTGCTTGTAATGAGCCCAGCCCTAAAATATTCAATAAATATAAGTACTTAGTACTCACAGATTTTACTTTTACCTACAGACATGTATACAATCCTTAGTCAGCTTACTTTGCCCTGTGAACAGCTACACTGTGAGCTCGGTATGTTGATCTGTTGATGGAACTCGTAGGGAGATTAGCTATGTTCTGTAATCTTTTACTGAATGGAGCTTCCTGAAATGGGAGAAAATAAATTAAATTACTTAAAAAATCATAGTGCTACAAAGTTCATGTACAGGAGTGATTTCAATATGGTCTATGCTGATTGATGCCTATGTACATTTACATGTACTAGTTAAAACTCTTTAGGTAAATCACAAAACAAGAATTTTTCACATTAAATCCACATTGGATACCACTAGGGACAACACTAACCATTTCCACCATCTCTGCATTGGGGTCCTGATATTCAGAATTAATTGGGTCAATAGGGGTCAACCTAGGCATTTCATCAGGACTCCTCCTTTTCACTTCACTTCTGACTGGGGGTAAACTCCTCCGTTCCTGATCAAGCTGGGGCAGGTGTTTGGCTACAGTGTCCTTGTACTGGGAGAAGGCATGGGGATTCACTTGAGAAAATGATGTTGGCATTTGTGGAGGAAATGTAAAGGGGTTTCTCTGCAATTTTGGGTGAAGAAGAAATCTAGATAACATCACATTTGTCATATACATACATTACAGTTATAATGTACAAAATTTCTTTTGATCATTTCCTAGCATTTTCTTTTGATCATTTCCTAGCTTTTTATTAAACCTATTCTCGTCAATTATTTTTACTTCAAATAAACACAATAAAACACACCTGTCGAGGTTGCATTTGAGTAGGTATTGGTACTTGTTCTTTCTGCTTGTTGTCAGGGGATATATGTGGTTCATATCCTTGAGACAGCTGAGTCTGAAGCACAGGATTCTGTCTTTGTGTCCCAGATACATCCGGAGGTCTTGCTGAAACTTGTGTCACAGAATGTGAACTCACAGAGATACCACTACCTGGAACCTCTTGCAAGCGTACCAAGTTTACAAAAGGCTGACGAATAGGAACAGAGGTGTTTCCAACGTTCACTGTAGAAGGGGGAACCTGAGGCCTTGGATTTGTTAGGGCTGCCATAGATTCTTTGTGCCTGTGTTGAGGTTTTGGTGAGGGTGTCCTTCTTGGAATACTGATCCCACCAGTACTCCCTGGGCTGACAGAATCCCTCCCTCCTGGGCCACCAGTTACCACTCTGATTTGTCCTGGTGAATGAGAGGGACTGGGGTATCTTTGTTGGGGATTCTGGTGGGGGGATATCTGTCTGGGGTTTGGTGAAATTTGTCTTTGTGGGGGTGAGGACAGGCCTTGCTGGGGGGATGTGTGCTGGGGGGATGTGTACCTGTCATGAGGGGGGATCTGTCTCTGTTGAGGGGATGGATGTCTTTGTTGATGAGGAGATACACGACCCATATCAACACGACTAGGGTGATTTGGACTGGGGGTTCTCCTGGAAATGTGACTCCCAACTGTGTCTTTATGATGGGGACTCACTGACTGCTCCTGCAACATTGAATTGAGTACATCAAGACTCATAAAGGTTGGATGAATCCTTTGATTTATAAACATGTACCGGATAAAAAGCTTTGCTGATATTGGGTATGCTTTGTGACAAACACATATAGTACATTCAATACATATTAAAACATTCTATGACTAAAATCACAGGCACTTGACGTTACATATTTTTCTTATTTAAAAATATAAAACCCCATACCTAATAATATTTTTTTTTCTAATAAGAAAAATATGTAAAGTCAAGTGACTGTGACTAAAATGCCTTCATATGATCAAGCCAAACCTTGAACGCTTGCACAATAAATTAAGGTATACAAAACTTTGGAAAGATAAGTACTGGTAAATAGACGTAAAATACTGTAAGTTGTTTCAATTCCTCTGCATGTGTTAAAATTTCACAATTTCTCAAAAAGTACCAATCACGATTGGTTTAATTTCAAGCTGCAAGAAATTAATTTAAATTTTGTATAAGCATTTAAACATTTTCAAAAACTAATGATAGCATTCATGATGGGTTTAATTTCACCGAAAAATGATGAATCGCGAACATAGTGAAATTAAAAGCATCATGACTATTTGCCAATCTACAGTTTTATGCACCATTATGTCTCTCCTTAAAATACATATGTGATACTTGCAATCTCAATTTTTTTTCACTTTGCAAAACTGTACCCACTGTCATACAGTTATTAACAAAATGCCATGAAATTCAAACTTAGCTGGTAGATGCACACTCTACACATAAAACCAAAAGTGGCAAACAATTGTCATCACAGTCCATGAATGCACAGTGTTTTCAAAATCTTAAAGTGGACACATTATAGGCATATACATGTATATTGAGATGACTTCAGTAAAAAATGTGCATATATTTAAAGTTTTCAGTATTAATAGGATATTTTTACAATTCAGCTATCATCTTACTCTGTGGGGAGACTTCTGGAAAAGATTACTGCCCTGGACATGAGGAGGCAGGGCACCTGTCATCAGTGCATGCTTCAGCAAATCACCCTGGGTTTGAGCAAATATCATCATATCTTTGCCCTACAAATGGATGATTTTTATTTCAATCTCGGTGGGCTGAAGTTTACAGTGGATATGCTACTGTGATATTGTGAGATTCAAAAAACAATGTTATGCCATCAAAACCAAGAATTTTTTTGTACAAAATACAACTAAATGAGGTAGTAAAACATGAGTAGTACTCATCATTTGAAACAAGCTTACAGAAGTACTTTCCTCCTCTGAGCTGGTAACTCTGTGTACAGGCCCTGGGTATAATGTTCCTGCCTGACTCTTGGTCACCCTTGCTGTGGCCAGCGTGTCCCTGATCTCAGACACAGATAAATTCACAGGCTGTGTTGTCCTGTCTGCCGATGGCCCGGGAGATCTTTGCTGGCCAGAGGAAAGTACTGGGGATATTCTCCCGACTTGGATGTGAGCTGGAGAAGGAGTTCTTCTTATTGTGGAAACCTGAAAAATGAAAATCAATTGATAAGAAACTTCCACTTAATATCTAGATGCAGTTTTCTGTACCTGAAATTCAAAGCCTAACAGAAAAATTGAATTGACAAAAATAAATTCATGGAATACTTGTTAATATCCAGTGCGAGTATCTGTTATTCTGGGGGGGAAAAAATCAGACCTAGTTACCTGCTGAGGACCTGGAGAAAATCTCTCCACTGAATGAGCTGCTGGTATATCTTTATTGACACCACTTTGTCGACCAGCCTCTGTCATTTTGCTATGCTGCTCAATCAGTCCTTGAACCGATGAAGCAATACTTGTGGCAGATCCTTGTTGATACTGTCTAAACACATTTTCATGACTCTGTGTTTCTGGGTAATGAGATATTTTTTGGAAGAGTTGTTGTCTCAGCATTCCAGAGCCCTCTGAATTGGGAGGAGTAATATGTCTCTGCAAAACAATTCTCTCCCCTCCATGTTTACCCACTGGTCCGAGCTCCCGGATAACCTGCTGTTGAGGGACTGGTTTGGGAAGAGGTACACTGGGTCTGTGTTGGCTATGTACCCCCTGGAGAACCCACTGAGGCTGTTGAGGTTGAATTGGCCTTTGAACTACCCTTCCTGGACCTTGAGGCCTGGATGGAGATATGCTTCTGTGGTAGGAGCTGTGGTCATCTCTACTGCTCATTACATGGATGGGAGCTACACTTCCATGCTGAATAGTTGATAGAGGTACACTGACACCTTGCATGCTTGGTGTCATCTGGGAAGATGACACATTCTGTGCCATTTTAGGCTGCATCTCTTGATCATTTAATTTCCTTTCTGTCATTTGAGGCACTCTGGCTTGCTCCAAGGTGCTACCTCTTGGAACAATATCAACTGCCACTTTCCAAGATTTGGGGTCAGGAGACTTCTTCTGTGGCTCTTTCTTAGCTACAAAATGTAACAGATGAGCTTTATCCAAATCCAGTTCCTCTCATTCAGAATTCAAAATGACTGAAGCTTGTATAAGACCTTAATCCTGGGCTCTTATTTATTCAATGTACACAACAATATCTATTCCTTGGTAAACATGTATTTAATGGTACTCACCTTCTCCTCTCTTTTTCCTCTCCTTTTTGGGGGGAGTTTTTGCTGTTCCAGAATCTTCCCCAGAATGCATGTTTCTCGCTACAAAAAAGAAAAAAAGATTCAGTGTTAATTCAATCATAGATATAGCTACAAATCTAAGATAACTGGTTTTGAAGATTTGGGATCAATTTTGGCACCAGAGAGCTATAATGCTTCCAGTAAAAAAATAATTTATACCAAAGTATGAAACTTAAGAAGAGCATATTTCAAAATCAGTAAAACCTGTCTAATCCAAAATGCACTGGGATGCAAAGTTTGTGTCAGAATAGACAGGGTGTAGGATTGCACAGTGTAAAGAATATGGAATGCAGTAAAGTGGGAACGAAACTAACGGTTAACTAGATATTTTTTTTAAGTGTCTGATTAGGCAGTGTCTACTGGATCTAAAACTAGAATTGTTCCATTAGGATTAAGGGGTTGCATGTACTGTTACAAATCAGCAATCACAAATACCTGAGATTGTATATGCACCACTTCAGGTTAATTATCATCTAACATCTCATGCAAGAAGCTATATGGGGGTTGGGGGGTCTGGTCCCCTCCCCTCCTTTGGGATTTTGAATTGAAATTATTAAATTTCAATGTAAAGGTAACAAAAAAAATGACCTTAGACCCACATAAGAAACACAAACCCTCTTTAATATGGTATGGAGTGTCATGTATCTGAAGTAAATTGACATAAGAAAGTGTCTTCTTTTACCCCCACCCTCTTCCATCCCACAAATTAGTTTTTTCCTTATTGGGTAAAAGTTGCTAAGGTTTTTTTTTTATTGGTTTACTTTTGTTTTGCTTGTCAAAAGATTCTGATTCTGACATTTGTTAGAGATGATGGGAATCCCCTTGGAAAAAGTTCCTGGTTCTGCACCTACATCTAATTATTCTTACCTGCCATGTATATAAATGTGAAACATGAAATCATAAAAATGTGAGTCAATGTTTTAAATGCCAATGCTGCTCATAGTTATGGGAAGGGGGGACCATAAAAGAGTGTGGTAGGACAGTTGGCATGGTGTCTGCAAGTTGTTACTTTAGAGATGTAAGTTTCTTTAAAAATAAAACAATTCAAAAATTGTTTTATTTGTTGAAAAGTACTTTAACATGATTAAGGGATGTAAAATTGTCTGCTATGTGTAAACATGACACACAACAATTGCAAAATTGTAACGTAAAAATGTGGCAACCTGAAGTTTGACTGTACCGAGTACAGATGACAATTAAAGCATATGTGACTACTATGTGACATGTTAGACATTTTTCTTGATATTGATTAAGAGAAAGGGATACCATAGCTGTTGCTAACCACCAACCTTATATCTGCATGTGCACAAAAGGCGCACAATATTGGCTTCGGGAAATAAGTAAGAGGTCATTTGAGGGTTGAATAAAAATATTGTCAAATTCTACTGTACTAGAAAAGATGGCAATTTAAATTTACTTGTGTCGATAAGGCAGATTTTGTATTTGCAGATGAAAATACCGAGTGGTGCATTAGCAATTTTGTCTAGTGCATGGCCGTAGGAACCGGGGGAGCATGCCCCCTCCCCCAATAATTTTGCCGATATATTGAACATGTAGAAAACATAGCCACTAGATGCATGTGCCCCCTCAATAATATCGTTTGATGACCTTTTTTTTTGGTAGTTGATAGTGCCCCCCACCCCCAACTGAAAATGTATGTGTATGAAAGTGAAGCTGCTTTCTACAGGCCTGCATCCCTGAAGTAATGCATTAAATACAATAACCGCGATCAATATCAACAACTTGTCTAGATGAATACTACATTCATTTCAAAGCATGTGTGCTAATTAATTTAATCATATATGCAGAAATGAGAATTATATTTGTTAACATATCCTGAAACAGTGAAAGAGACATTTCAGCAATACTTTCACATTTCAAAGAATGATTCAGATGTCTGCAAAAATGCATGCAATGTAAAATGTTTGAGCAGTATTCCTAATATTGAAAAGTTGTGCAACTTGTACATTCTCAGATTCTGATAGAGTACGGTAACCATAAATGGCATAATGCAAATTTTTAGTTTTACCTGCAATGAAATCGTGTTTCTGTGATTGGATCAAAAATCTAGAAACCTTCCGAGAAAAATACGAAACCGTGCGAGGAGCTGAATAAAGTTAGAAGTTCAGTTTCGGAGAAAATAGCACCAGTCTTTGAAACATTGGTGTTTGTTCAGTAACTTTATGCTGAAGTAAACAAAATTCAAGGTAGCAAAATGCCTATAATTAAGCCACAACACATAGTCTCATTTAGTAATGCTGAAACGGTAAGTACAAAAACAAGCAATATTAAATCAACTGTAAATAAAAGCTTTTATTTTCACAATTGTGATACAGCTGTGATATGAAGTAGAATAACAGATTGAAAGAGGGACCTATGTACATGTAATGAGTATATGTATAAACGTCCATGAATCACAACACTGAGTATACAAACACAAGATATCATACTTTGATTGACACGCAGAAAATGTCAAAATACCATCCATAAATTCAAATGTGTTTTTCCTGTCACATATTTATATGCTTATACATATCTTTTAAACATTTTTGATATTTTAAGAATCACCCTGCAGAGAATTTATTAAAACCAGAGGGAACATTCAAGTGGAAAGTTCCAGGTGGAAAAGCTGCAACAGCTGTACTCCAGGTATTGATATAATGAGTTTTATTATTGGTTAGTTTGATATCAAATGCCATTGTATAGATATGTGGATTTTATTACAAACATTAAAAAAAAAATTGGATTTGCTTGGTGCTTGGTCGATATGCTTTTCTGTGAAGTCGATATATCCATGAATTGACCTCATGAAAGGGCTATTTATGTATAATATATATCTACAATATTGTGAGAAAAGACTGGTTTGTAATAAATGTTGCTCATGCATGAGCATTTCCTGCATTTATTGTCACCATTAAAACAGTCTCATTTAAATTTAGCATTTTACAAATTATGTGTTCTTCATAATGACCTCAGAATGTCCTAATGCAAATACAGGTTATCGATTGATATAATCAATTGATATAACCTTGACTCACGTGTTTCAATTGTAAGGTTATCATTTTCATTACTAAATTTGACTATGAATTACTCTGCATTATTGCAAATAACCACTTGCCCACTCCCATATGAGAGTAATTTTGTCTGTGGGAGACTAACTCTTGAGTATGTTATAGCCCACTTAGAGAGTAAAAAATTTATAGGAACTTTTCTGGAACCTGAATGTGGTTTGCTTCTACTATTGAATGCACTTTGGTTTTCACTGTTTCCTACCTGCAAAAAAATTTTCTAAATCCTAAATTGCATCAATGTTATGACTATGTGAGGTCTCAAAGTGATTCATGCATGTGGTTTCAAATTCTACTGAAAAATGAAAGACTATGGACAGCAAAGTATACTTCTTAGAGATTCTGATACAAAAAGATAGAGAAATTTTTTTACTGGGTAGACAGAAAATCCTGGGCCTCAAAACATCAGTGCGGGCTAATAAAATTTATGAATTTGGAGGTCCTCATGGCACCGTAGGTTTTTAAAGTTATTTGCATTCCTGCTCTGTTTAGTGTTTACCTCTTCAGTTTTCATGATCATTGTGACAGGTTGACAGGGGATGCTTAATTACTCTCATAGGCACCTTATTCCATCGACGATATTTCCAAGGATCCCTGTTTTCTTTGCCTTTTTTTTTAAATTAATAATTTGTATTATTTTTATTGATTTATCAGATTGATGTATGTTCATTATTTTCATTCTTTCAATTTATAGTTTGAGAAAGCAACAGAAATACATTCCATTGATATTGGCAATGAAGGATCTGCATTTGTGGAAGTTCTTGCTGGAAAATCAACATCAAATTCAGACCAAAGCTATGAGGTTATCTGATTATTCAGCTTTCTACATTTTACAAAATACTACAGTTTATGTTTATTTAGATTTATTCCCAATTTATACCAAACAGACTAGTTTTTTTTTGTCTATACTCTGTATTAATTCATAACATTTTGTGTGTAAACAGAGTTGTTCCCCTTTACGCAATTAAAAAAAAAAATTTAATTTTTTCTTCATAGTAATTTCCTTTCATATGACTGACAACACTTTCTCATGGTTGACAATTTGTTTCAATAAGGTTAATATTCTTATTCACACAATTTGAAATGGATAACAGATAGTGTATATACTCTGTATATACAGTTAAACTTCGATATCTTGAATACCATGAGTATGTCCAAGTGAGTTATAAGTCTCTACCACTTTTACGTCATGTATTTAAACTTCAATATTTTAAACTCTTGGATATCTCAAAGTTTTCTTGGTCTCTAGAAGTGCAGAATAATGAGGTTTGACTGTAGTTATTTTCCCTTTAAATATTTTAGAACAGGCATACTGGTATATTTGCATCTTAATAGTTGTTCTTATTTTTATTTTTGATAACAGGTTTTACTTGTGGCCTCATCTTTCATGACTCCAGTGGAGAGCAGGAATGGCACAAATAGGAACAGTGTGAGGATGTTTGGACCAGATAAACTTAACAAAACAGTGGCTACCCAGAAATGGGACAGGGTTAAAATTGTTTGCACTCAACCCTTTAACAAGGCATGTTTCTGGTTAATTTAAATCTAACACATTAAGTTTTAGATTTGGTCATATTTGTTAACAATATTTGTTACATAAGATATACAACAAGAAATTAGATGCAAGTTGAGAGTATACAATGCATAAATAATATATGTGTAATCATGGAGACATGAGATAAGAATCAAAATGTACAACTGAAAACTGACTTTTATAACATTTTTTATTTATTAAAATCACCTCAGTCAGCTAGTTACTAAAGTTAGATACCGAGTATTTCATATTGCTCTACTTATACTTAATGATGTGTTATTAAGCAGCATAACAGTATGAATGATCAATTTTAAATAGATTGGTCAGCCAGAAGGAATGGAATGAAGTCTCCACTTGTAATTAGTTGTGCTGTATTATTTCAGACTGCCAGTTATGGATTATCCTTCATCACATTCCATTCTCCACCAGAAGCTCAGGAACAGAAAGAAAAAGAGGTTCAGAAGAGTTCATTAAATTATCTAAAGAAGTAACTGACGTGAAGACAATGAAAAAATTGTTTCATTTCAAATTTCCATAGAAAATATCATTTCCACTTGCCTTATTGTAAAAGTCAAAATGTTGTTGCTGTTGCACCTTTCAATTTTTTTCTCAGAAGAGTATGCCAGACACACAGTGTTGTGATTTTATGATATTGTTGTGCATTTTGCAGCATTATTGGTAAAATCATATCTTATTTTGTTAATTAGTCTTTTTTTTATTAGAGTGGTTCCAAAAAGATTGGTGCATTTACTCTCAAACCTGAAAGTGGAGATCCAATAAGCACAGGGTCTGTGTTTGAAAAGAAGAAAACTCAACTTACCGGTAAGAAGTAGATTTATGTTCACTTATGTGTCTGTAACTTCCTTATTATTTGCTAATTAAGTAAAAGATAAAGTACATGTACATGTAATTTAAATTTAGGGGCAGCAGCTGTTCGTGCAGCCTCTAAATTAGCAGAAGAATCTAGAGGGACTCCAGCTAAATCTGAGGAGAGCAAACCAGTGCAGAAAGCAGCCACACCATCAGAGAAACCCAGTACCGTAAGTCAGCCAGCATACACTTATCTGAATTACTGTTGATTCCTTATTTGATGCATGTACTTAATATCATGAAATAAATTGTGATAACATGTTTGTCAAGTGGACTGTTGATAAAATGTTTTTACTTGTATTTTGGCAACATGAAAATAAAAGGAAATAATAAAATCATCATGTATGTTTAAAAATCTACAGGAATGGCATCTTCGCTAGCCAAGGGTTTCTGATCTGCTTCTCTCCTCTCAAATCATGGTGCTATCAAAAGTTGGCATTTTGTAAATGACAGTATCTCTGTTTGGAGTATATCTTGACTCAGTAGTCTTGAGAAAATAAAACACAGGTAAACAATGATTCGTAAGATAACATGCCATTCTATAAATAAAGAGCCATGGTGTCATCCAACTTTTAGCTGATGTGCACATAATGTGATCAGGAATCTATATTGCTGATATAGATTTGCACCCTAAATAACAAATAAACATAGCTCAATACCTGCTTGTTAATTATTCTTTAAATACTTTAATTTTAAAAACACTCTTTATTTCTGTTGATGACGCAAGCTATACACATGTGGTAAGATATGAGATCAAGTGACGTAAACAATTCCAACTTTTGATAGCACCGTAGGCCAAGGGTTTGTGAGGAGAGTAGCAGATCAGAAACCCTTTGCTAGTGAAGTTGCAGGAATGGGTATGTTGTTTTATGATTTTCCTATACATGTACCTGCATAAATATTTCAGAATTTGACTTTACTTGTATTTTTACCCTCTGTGATGTGCATAACCAACACATACATACATTGTAGTACCAATAATTAAATATGATGTATAGTGTTATTATATGGTTTTACATTGTTCAGAATGGATGCATAACTTGTTTTGCCATACGCAGCTATGTTAAGGCTGTCCGAAGGCTTGATATGCATTGAAATATACAATTTATTATGAGCTAGATTTTAATTTCAAATTGTAATCTATGTATGAATCTGCAGTCAACTTGTGATGAGAGTGTAATCAGGTATTATAATATTAATCATGCATTTTTGTGATGTCACATGACCTTGTTGATCACGTGACAGACACTTATAAATTCCTAATTGTTGCACAAAAATCGCATCGGCACAAGTGCAAAACAACATTATTGAGAAAAATTTGTCACATAAGTCAATTCATCGTGGTCTTTGGTACATATAAAGTGCTGGGGGAAGGTCTGAATTTTACTTCTTGAGCAAATATTCCACGAGAAATTCAACTTACCTACATACAAGGGGGAATTTTCCCTTCTTTATCGCAATTCGTACAAAATAGGATAAATTACATAATATCCCCCAGCAAAATTCAGTCAGAGGTCATACTTCTCTAGTAGATTCACAGCGAATATCTTCAATTTATCCTTATTAATCACTTGTGCCAGTCAAATATATACACGATTTATAAATTCTAACTCTGTCCACGGACATGTAAAGGGAAGCGTTTCACAGTCAATTTTTTGTTATTGTTTGAATATATGTTTATCGGACAAGTTAAAGGAATAATGATATTAAATTGCAAATTTTCAACATCATAACAGCACACTTAAGCTTAAAGAACAGTACAGACATTTGAATCAAACAGTAACGCTAAAAAATCTTTACATGTCATGTGAAAGGAATGCAAAAGTTATGACACTTTCCCCGTCATATCAGCTCAAGTATGCAGTGACTTGACGTCATATGCTATTATGACGTCATATCTAGGTAGTTCAGAGAAGTTACTACAGTGGGAACAGTTTGGTATTTTACAGACAGCCTTATCCTAGCCGTATATAGGAAAAGAATGCATTACTTGAAAGTTCTGTCACTTCTATTTTTTTTAGTCCCCTACCGGTGAAACCGGAGGGGACTATAGGTTTCCTCTGAGTCTGTCCGTCCGTCTGTCCGTCCGTCTGTCTGTCTGTCCGTCTGTCTGTCTGTCTGTCCCTCTGTCTGTCTGTCAGTCTGTCCCACTTGGTTTTCCGCACTTTTTTCCTAAACGCTTGCAGATATTGAGCTGATTTTTGGTATGTGAGTGTATCTTGATGAGGTACAGATCAAGTTTGCATTTCGTTCCGCTTCATTGATTTTTGACGGAATTATGGCCTTTTCAATTTTTACGGGTTTTCCGCAATTTTCTTCTAAACGCTTGTAGATATTGAGCTGATATTTGGTATGTGGCTTTACCTTGATTAGTTACAGATCAAGTTTGCATTTCATCCCGCTTCATTAATTTTTCACGGAATTATGGCATTTTCAATTCTTAACGGGAACCAGATTACACTTGCCGGTAGGGGTCTAGTATTGCTAATGCAATACTCTCAGAATGCTTGTTTATTTAGAGTGTGGGTGGATCCAAGAGGAAACATACTTTGAGTGATGATGAGGATGAGGATAAGGCCCCTCCCACCAAGCCTCCCATGAAGAAACAGTCAACCAGTATCAGCTCCACTGCCTCATCCTTGAAGGGGAGTGAGAGACCCCCGCTCAAAAAGACCAAATGTAAGATAAAGACTTTCTGTTGAAAATATCTTGAGAACATGGACGAAATCAAAATTTGAAGCCATTTATTTTTTATTAATTTTTAGAAAATTGCCAAAATATGTGCATGGATTTCTAATGTTATAAATTCAGTATATCATGGTTCAAACTCTCTGCTACAGTAATATTTACATACACACCTACTATTTGCAGCTGACACATCAGGTCAGGCCAAACCTTTCCACAAGTTAATGAAGGGAGTTGTGTTTGTGCTGAGTGGTTACCAAAACCCATTCAGGGCAGAACTAAGAGACATGGCTACAGAGATGGGAGCTGAGTACAAACCAGACTGGAAGAAGGGATGCACCCACCTCATGTAAAATTTATTTTCATGAGAAACTGTATACAAAGGGGCACAACTTGTTATGTTTTGATCATTTTTAGAAAACTTTGGAGGAGTATAAACTCTCATCATCTACTTACAGATGCGCTTTTCAGAATACACCCAAATACAATCAAGTGAAAGGAAAAGGGAAAATTGTAAAGAAGGAATGGATCCAACATATGTACAAACAGAAGAAACCCCTGCCTTGGAGAAAGTAAGTTCTGATAAAAGCTTCCAGAGAGTACTCAAAGGGCATTATGCTTCATATGAATGCACATGTGTTGTAATCCTTCTTTCAGTGTACAGGTATTTCTCACAGTTTGGCAATGACTTAATTACTATATACTGTAGATTCCTAAATTATGTGTGAGGGATTCATTATTGCATAATTTCGCGAGAAGCATCACTTGGAAAATAAAATTACTTGCTTTTATTTTTATGGTGCTGAAATAAATGTAAAATGTCTTGATCAATTATCCACTTGCGAATTCTTGTTCTCCCAATTTCCCATAAAAGAGCCATTTCCCGACAATAAGTACTTGCAAAATATAATTAATCTACAGTAACTTGTTCATTGTTTGTGTAATACAGATACAGACTTGGGGACGCAGATACACCAGAGGGAACAAGTGAAGAAGAGTCAGATGATGATGATACACCAGCTGTAAAGGAACCAGTACAAAAAGCCAAACCGAAAGGTCAATCATTTGATAGTGTAAAAAACTATAAATATTTATATCCATTTCCTAGATCAGGCAATAAATCTCAGTCTGATTATTTTTAGGAGAGAGTAAAGCCTCCCCAGAGAAACATGCATCAAAGGGTAAAACTAAGAAGGGTGTGGATTTTGATGGGGATACAGATTCAGGGGGAGAGGAAGCCCCGATGGATTACGGAGGAGACACAGACTCTGGAGGGGATACAGAGGATGAACTGGAGAAGTATGTCTTAAATATTAAATGATTTGTACATAGTGCTGCATACTTTACACACACAAACACACACAACTATGCAGCTAAATTGATTCAAATTAAATTAATGCATCCATCCATCTTAGAGGAAATAATTACTAAATAAACAGTAAAATTTTTTTAGCCAATTACAGACTGTAGAACTTTTACACTAGAAGGACAAAATATAAAAGATAACTCTATTATGATGTATGAATAGCATCTATAGGTGAAGGGGAACAAAAATTGTGAATTTCATGGTCCCTGCCCCCCTGGGGCCTGAGGGGTGGGGCTAAAACCACCAAAAATAATGCAATCTTTAAAAATCTTCTTCTTTACTCCTGGCTGAGGGGTGGGGCTAAAACCACCAAAAATAATGCAATCTTTAAAAATCTTCTTCTTTACTCCTGGACATCAAGCAGTCAAACTGTTGGCATCATTGTAATAAGCATTGAGCCCTCTACCAAAATTGTGAAATTCATGGCCCCAGGATCAGGGGTTCTGGCCCCAGGGCGGGGCTATATAGATCATATAGTGAAAGTGCATTATTTCTTTGAAAATCTTCTTCTCTGCTCCTGGGTATTAAATAAAGTAACTAAGTACATAGTTATGATGAGGAGGTGGGCCTCTTCCAGAATTGTGAAAGCCATGGCCCCAGGGTCAGGGGTTCTGGTGTTAGGGCGGGACTCTATTGATTATATAGTGAAAATGCATTAATTCTTTGAAAATCTTCTTCTCTGCTTCTGGATATTTAATAAAGTAACTAAGCACATAGTTATAATGAGCAAGAGTACCTTTTCCAAAATTATGAAATTCATGGCCCCAGGGTCAGGGGTTCTGGTGTTAGGGCGGGGCTCTATCAACTATATAGTGAAAATGCATTATTTCTTTGAAAATCTTCTCCTCTGCTCCTGGGCAATAAGGTGATAAACTAAGTACATAGTTATGATGAGGAGGTGGGCCTCTTCCAGAATTGTGAAAGCCATGGCCCCTGGGTCAGGGGTTCTGGTGTTAGGGTGGGGCTCTATTAATTATATAGTGAAAATGCTTTAATTCTTTGAAAATCTTCTTCTCTGCTCCTGGGTATTAAATAAAGTTACTAAGTACATAGTTATGATAAGCAAGAGTGCCTCTTCCAAAATTGTGAAATTTATGGCCCCAGGGTCAGGGTTTCTGGTGTTAGGGCGTGGCTCTATTGATTATATAGTGAAAATGCATTGATTCTTTGAAAATCTTCTTCTCTGCTACTGGAGACTATTTAAACAAACTAAGTGCATGGTTATGATGCATAAGGATGCCTTTTCAAAAATTGTGAATTTCATGGCCCCAGGGTCAGGGGTTCTGGTGTTAGGGTGGGGCTCTATTGATTATATAGTGAAAATGCATTGATTCTTTGAAAATCTTCTTCTCTGCTACTGGAGATTATTTAAACAAACTAAGTGCATGATTATGATAGACAAGGATGCCTCTTCCAAAATTTTTAAATATATGGCCTCAGTTTTTGGGGTTCTTGAAGGGGGGGGGGGGGGCTCTATTGATTATATAGTGAAAAAGCATTAATTCTATTGATTAATCATTAATTTATCCTGTCTGTTCCTTAAGTGTTGAGCTGATAAATAAATTGCTTAGCTATGATGAAAATGGGAGCTTCGAACAGAATTTCTAAATCTTGTGGTGTTAGGGTCAGGGGTTCTGGCGTAACGAGGGGGGGGGGGGGGGCTTTTGATAATATAGTGGAAAAGTGTTAATTCTTTGAAGTCCATAGTTATGATGATAAGGGTAACTCTTCCAAATTTGTAAATTTCTTGACCCTTGGTCTTGGGTTCTGGTGTTTGGGTAAGGCTTTGTTGAATCTGTAGTGAAAATGCATTGTACCTGTGAAATTCTTCTCTGCTTCTGGGCATATCGGAAGCAAACTGAGTAAAAGTTTAAATGATATGAGTAAGTGTATTTCTACCAGATTTTTAAACATCTGGACCATTCGTCTAAGCATTCTGGTCCTGGGCAGGGCTCTATTAATTTGTATTCTACTGAGAGAAGTTATTCCCCTTTTCCATTCACCTTTGATAATTAATCACTGTAAATAATGTATTTGAAAGGTTAATAGAATAAGATAATTATGCAAGAATGTTTATCGTATAGTTAAAAAAGTAGTTTTTTAGTTTTAATAATCAGGTAGACCTGTAAGTAATAGATAAATAAAAATGAGACAAAAATAACTTATCTTATTAAAAGTTCTTCAAAGACCATAAGAGAGGTCAATGCTAGAGGTCTTAATATGGGTTTAAAAATAGTACAGAAGCACTAATAGTTTGTCAATAGTCTGCATGGTGATAGTGTTAAGTGGGGGACAGATTAGAACTTAATTTACGAGTTGATACTGAATACTAGACTAATTATTTTGTTGATCCTGATCTTCCTACTTCTTTTGCTTTAGGGCAACAAAGCTTCATCTATCAGTGTATTTAAGGACATACGCAATGTAGTTTGAACTTTATTGTCTTTTTCCCTGGAGTTGAAGAGTTCCAATACTTAAAGGAACTGTGTGCTACATTTTAATGTCTATATATGCTGTTGTACACTTCTTCTAAAGCAATTTTGGATAAACAAAACATAAAGAATATATGTTTAGTAATTTTTGTATATTTTTCTTTGAATTATGCAAGAATTTTCATCAATTGATGTCTTTTTAAAACCCCTGGTAATGCATGCTGAGTTTCTGTCTATGAACATCTGATGAATATCTTGAAAAATTATCAGTAGGTAAGATACGTTGCGTATGTCCTTAACTTCGAAATTGTTGTATTATACTCAGGTGACCATTAAGGCCCTTGGGCCTCATGTTTTAAATAAGTAACAAATATCACTAAGTATAAACTTTCAATTATGGCACTTGACCACAATTGGTCCCACATTTGTGAAATATATTCCATGAAGGGGACTTGGAACAAACCTCGTAAAATGTGTCACAAAATTATGCTACAGTTAACAGATTCCTTTTCGGCGAGACTTGGGTAAAGCAATTCGATATGGAAGAGAGCAGATGGAACATTTCAGTAAAACGCTTTTCTTGTTTTCTTTCATTTGTAACTTTGGATTATTTGTGATTTGCTGATTTCACTTAACGATTTCCTTGAATAACACATTTCGTGGGTACCCACGTAAAAAACTATTCACAAAGTTTTTCAGACGTAGTTCATTCAATATTTAAAACTTATTAAAATTGCTGTAGCAGGTTTTTCTTGCTTATTGCTGAATCACTTGTAACAAAATGTTTACACTTCAGAGTAAAGGCTAAACTGGCCTCAGAATCTAAGAAGAGCAATCCCTATGGTGATTCTACCGATGAAGATGAACCTTCAAAGAAATCTCCGAAACCATCACCATCTAAAAATAACTCAAATCCTCAGCCCTCCACATCCCACCAATCAGAGACCAGCAAAGCAGCAGACGACAGTGATGATTCTGGCCTTCCTGATTTACCTGATTATTTCACTGACAAGCATTTTTTCTTGTATGGAGATTTTCCCAGTGGTGAGAGAAGGCTGCTGACACGATATATCACAGCTTATAATGGGTAGGACTAAAACCGCTTTGTGGTGGACTTTTGTACTATTTTCAAGTAAATACTTCATTGAGTCATGATTTTATTTGTAAGTGTGAGTTGTTTTTGTATTTTCAGGGAGATAGAAGAGTACATGAATGATAAAGTCCATTATGTTATCACAAATTCTGATTGGGATAAAAATTTTGATGATGTAAGTTCAGCTGTTCAGATTTTACCTACATATTAATTGAATCTAACTACATGTATCTTATTTAAAAATTCTCTACTATTATCCTTCCATGATATATTTGTATATTTAGCTTTTTAATTTTAATGAGTAAGAAATTAACATTTAATTTGCTGGAGTATTTTGTCCCATTTCAGGCACTGTCTGACAACCCAAAGCTGGTTTTTGTGAAACCAAAGTGGATTCACATGTGTCACGAAAAGGAGAAATTAGTACCTTATCAACATTACATAGTGATTCCAAAGGATGATTGATGAATCTTTGAGCCTAGAGATATTGACTTCTAATTAGTTCAAGGACTGCGGTGAAGACTTAATTGAATTTGATGAAATCATTTCTTACCAATAACAATGCAGCAACATAATCTAGATGTTAGAATGTTTCAAATTTATGTAATAAATTTTATCACATTTTGTAGATTTTCATGGATATTTCATAAATACTTAACAGAACTTGGAATAGGCAGCTGTGAATAAAAAATATGTTTTAAACTTGAATTTGTTTTTCAAAAACACATGATGTAGATAATGAAGAAGAAGTTATATCCATTTAAAAAAAATATAATGAAATTTGATCTAAAACCTAATTACTGGTGCTTGTGAATTTTGATACAAATCCAAAAGTTAACAAGATCCTAGCATCCCTCAATTTAAAAAAAAAGACAAATATGACAAAATGTAGGTCAGTGTGATCTCATTTTGGGTTGACACATTTCTGTGCCCCAAGGTGCTTGAACTTTCTAGGTTTGATGACGCTACAAGTCATACCGGTAGTTATCAAAATACATGAACAGCTGAACTTCGATATCTCAAACATGGATATTTCAAATACCTTGAATAAGTCGAAGCGATTTGGAAGTCCCAAGCACTTTCTCTTTGAGTATTTTACGCTCAATATTTTGAATACTGAGATGCCTCAAAGTTTTTACTCCGTCTCATCAACATCGAGATAATGAGGTTTGACTGTATATAAGTTTCAAGATTTCAAAATGTTATGCTGTAAGAATCAAAGTACTTGTAAATCACTTAGACCTACTTTAAAGTCAACACTTTGCACCATCTGACAAACTTTGAAGATCCTACATAGGATAGGATAGGATTTTTATCTAAAAAGTATTGAAAATGAATTGTTGTAAAACAAGTAGTGTAATTGTTTGTTGTTTTATGTTCCTTGCAAAATTATTTCACTCATATGAGACATCATCGTATACAGATTGACTGCTGGATGTGCTGGAGTGAAGATTTTAGAAGACTATTTTTAGATCAGCATCAAAAAGGTGCATCATCTGTAGCGAGTTGATGATCCTAGGCTCTTAACGAGTTAAGATTTGATGATGAATTCAAATAAGTACATGTACGTCACTGTGGCTTACATTAGAATTAACAAATCTCTGAACCCCATGATGCACCAGCAATTTGGGTTTGGTGACTCTTCATGTCACAGTGTTCAAAAATTGTAGTTAAAAAAAAATGAACTAGAAATATGTCCATAGGACATGAATGCCCCGCCGAGGGTATATTAGTAATGCAACATTTTAACACAAATTGAGAAAAGTGAGGTCAAGGTCAAAGGAAAGGTCTAGGTGAAAAAATATTGATGCAGTTGAATAGCTTACATCAGTATGTATCAGCATATGAAGTTTGACACTAATTTAAGAAAAGTGAGGTCAAGGTCAAAGGAAAGGTCAAGGTCAAAAAATGTTGATGCAGTTGAAAAGGTTACATCAGTATGTATTAGCATATGAAGTTTGATAAAAATATTGTGAATGGTTTCTTTAAAACTGAGCTAAACACTAATTTAAGAAAAGTGAGGTCAAGGTCAAAAGAAAGGTCAAGGTCAAAAAATATTGATGCAGTTGAATAGTTCTCATCAGTATGTATCAGCATATGAAGTTTGACACTGATTTAAGAAAAGTGAGGTCAAGGTCAAAGGAAAGGTCAAGGTCAAAAAATGTTGATGCAGTTGAATAGCTCTCATCAGTATGTATCAGCATATGAAGTTTGATAACACTATCTTGAATGGTATCTTTAAAACTGAGCTAAAACTTATTTCAGAAAAGTGAGGTCAAGGTCAAAGGAAAGGTCAAGGTGAAAATATTGATGCAGTTGAATAGCTCTCATCATTATGTATCAGCATATGAAGTTTGTTAAAAATATCTTGAATGCTTTCATTAAAACTGAGCTAAACACTAATTTAAGAAAAGTGAGGTCAAGGTCAAAAGAAAGGTCAAGGTCAAAAAACGTTGATGCAGTTGAATAGCTTACATCAGTATGTATCAACAAATGAAGTTTGATTACATTATCTTGAATGGTATCTTTAAAACTGAGCTAAACACTAATTTAAGAAAAGTGAGGTCAAGGTCAAAAGAAAGGTCAAGGTCAAAAAATGTTGATGCAGTTGAATAGCTTACATCAGTATGCATCAACATATGAAGTTTGATTACACTACCTTGAATGGTATCTTTAAAACTGAGCTAAACACTAATTTAAGAAAAGTGAGGTCAAGGTCAAAAGAAAGGTCAAGGTCAAAAAATGTTGATGCAGTTGCATAGCTCTCATCAATATCTATCAGCATATGAAGTTTGATAAAAATATCTTGAATGGTATCTTTGAAATTGAGCTTTGAATAGAGCTAAACGCAAAGTGTGACAGAAGGACAGACGGAAGGACGGAAGGACAGAAGACGGACATGACAAACACTATATGCCCCGGCCATATTCATGGCGGGGCATAAAAATCAAAAAGTAGGTCACTGTGACCTACACTTCAATAGACCAACAACAAAGCCCAAAGGTGCACCAACTGAAAAATTTTGATGATTCCAAGTCTCATAGTGTCTTAAGTATTTAGCTTATATGGTTTAAGAATAGCTATAAAGTTCAGAAAGTATACCCTCTATAGTCCACATTCCAAAAAGTTTACACAAACTGCACAAATGGCCATAGGATTAGCTCTTTGAACGTTTGGCTCCAAATAACTAAATATTTATTCTTTGAAATGTTTCAGGAAACTGCTACTGTATGTATGATGAAAGCTGACCAGTATTTTTCAGATGTGGATACAGGTTTAAAAAAAAAGAATTATCTAAATATCAGTGACAAACAACATAACAGTACAAATAATGGACGGATTTTCTTATTTTACTTCAGGTACATCTACATATATATGTAAAAATGTGTATAAATACCAGTAACAAAATTGTAGCATGGCTATTGTTTACTTATATTCCAGGTAGCAGCATCTTGCAGATCAGTGATTCTCTCACATGTGGAAACATTGACCATTCAATAACTATTATTCCTAGACTTACTCATGTAAATTATGAGGTATAAGTAAATCTCTTGTTTTGGAAGTCCACATCTCGATCTATTTCTCCACATAGGGGAGCCTGTTTTTGTTTAAGACAACCAACTTATCAGAGATTTCACATTCAGTACTCGGTTACTCAGTTTTTATTTAGTATTACTGTATTCATTTATTGGTCCTTGAAAACAGATCGTCTCTGTGTTTCGAGTCCTTTAACAATTCTCTGGTGGCATTTTCTCTCGCAATCACCATCCTTTGTCTGGCTTTCTTGAATGCATCTGGATCAGAAAAAGAGCACAATTTAAACATATTTTTAGAATACATTTTATCATTTTCATGGTAGCAAATACTGATATATACATATACTGGGTACTTACATTACATTTAGAAAACTAATTATGTACAAATACTCGAAACTGCTTACTGCAAAAAGTAGTATTCAATAAGAAATTTGCATACATGTTTATACACATACCTAAGACAGACTGAATGTTTTGTTGCACTGTATTAATACTGAAAGAGAAATAAAAGAGATGTGTTTACAAAGTAGCATGTAACATAAGAAGGCACACTGCTACACAACAGTAGATTTAATTTTTAGATTGTCAGTTTATTTGGAGTGGGGGGGGGGGGGGGTGTCTGTAATTTTCATCTGCTAGAGAGTGAGATATAAATCAGGTTGGTCAACACTTTGTTGTAATAAGCGATATATTATATTACATATACTTGATTACAAATATGACTGTCATAAGCAGGAAATTCTTTCTACTTTGAAGTTTTACTGTAGAGATAGTAGGGTTTTTTAATCTTTGGTTGGAAAAGATGTTGTATCAACATGAAAAGATTTTGCTACATATTTAAAGAAAATAGTGGGATATGTTTTATGCACATAAGCTATACATATCACAACTATAGTTGATGAAGTAATCATGGCCCTTCAGCAGTTTTCTGTTCTAAAAGGCTCAACATTAAATATAATTTGTTTTTAAATGTAGTAAGTCATATAAAAAGTAACATTACCCAAGTGTATCCAAGAGAGAACCTAGTGACTTCTTGCTGGCTTTCTTTTCCAAAAACAATCTGCACAAAAGAAAATTATTTACCTATAAATCATAATGGGTAAAGTAACATTCACACTATTTAAGTTTTTGTAGTAATGATATGAGGGCTGTTCAAAAATTATGCGGTCTTGTTGCACAGAAAAAATATTTGACAACAATCAGGCAAAAAGTCATACATAATATAAAAGAATCTTTACTTATATGGTCATCATAATTCCATATCAAAATGTTGTAAATTGATATCAATTTTGGGTGATTTAACAGGACATATCATGAAGTCAGTAAAATCTTCGAAGTCACGGGCATTATAAAACATAGGTAATCAAAGATTACGAAGCTCACCTCGACGAATGTTATCTTTAAGTAAGGCAAATTTCACAATTTTTTTTTTATTTAGTGTACATCCCAAGATCAATGTCCATGCAAGTTTGGTTTAAGAAGGACTTATAGTTACTTGGAAATAGACGTGTTCAAAAAAAAAGTTTATCCTGTTTACTATTCAAGAAAATTTTGGTCAGTTCCAACATCCAAAGTAAGTCTGGATTTCATCCTTAGATGCACCATCTATGCAAGTTTAATCATAACAGGCCATAATATTATATAGCTACTCCAAAAAAATTATCCTGGTCACTCATCTGGAAAATGTAGGTCAGATTCAGAATCCAAAGCAAGTCTGGAAGTGACCATCCCTAACTACATCATCCATGCTAATCTGGTTAAAATATGGCTAAAATTCACTCATGTGGAAAATCTAGGTTAGATCCAGCATCCGAAGCAAGTGTGGTAGTGTCCATCCCTAGATGCATCATCCATGCAAGTTTGTTCAAGGTAGAGCTTATAGTTTCTTGGGTATGGACCTGCTCCAAAAACTTTCACCTGGTCACTCATCTGGAAAATCTAGGTCAGATCCAGCATCCGAGGCAAGTGTGGTAGTGTCCATCCCTAGATGCATCATCCATGCAAGTTTGGTCAAGGTAGGGTTTATAGTTACTTGGGAATGGACCTGCTCCAAAAACTTTAACCTGATCACTCAACTGGAAAATCTAGGTCAGATCCAGCATCCGAAGCAAGTGTGGTAGTGTCCATCCCTAGATGCATCATCCATGCAAGTTTGGTCCAGGTAGGGCTTATAGTTACTTGTGAATAGACCTGCTCCTAAAACTGTGACCGGGACGCTGACGCCGGGGGTGTAGCATAAGCTCATCTCGACTTTGAGGTGAGCTAAAAATGTGAGCTTTCATTTTCTCAACATTTTCCCTCAGAGTTCGATACTGTAGAGTTTGGTTTCAGCCCTCGTATATTGATAAACTGGCAAAGTTATCTTGTGCATGATGACATGAGCAAAGCTCTTCGGTTATTTACCTACACTGCATTATCACACTGAATTTAGCATTAAACATACATGTAGCTCTTTGGTTATTTACCTAGACTGCATTATCGCACTGAATTTAATACTGAACATAGCTCTTTGGTTATTTACCTAGACTGCATTATCACACTGAATTTAGCATTAAACATACATGTAGCTCTTTGGTTATTTACCTAGACTGCATTATCACATTGAATTTAACGTCTACACTTCCTGTCGTTTCTGTGCGGAATCCATACTTGCTCAAGTGAGGTCCCTGTTGATAAAAAAGAGAACAACTAATTCTTCATATTTACATGTTTTAAACTGTGTGAAATAGACCTATTTTGAAACAAATTTTACCATCTGAATCATTAAATACTTATTTCTTGGTAAATTTTCCCAACAACCATTAATACAAGGGAGCAAACTGTCAATGAATTTCCCAGAATGACCTTGAATCTAGGTCATAAACACCCTCTGGTCAAAGGCAATCTGTATGAGGTGCTAGTTTACAGTTTCTTTGCTACAAATTGTGTCTTAAAAAATATTTTAACAGCATTTTGTTTGCTCTCTTTTCAGGTTTTGTTTCCTTACACAAAGTTATTTCAAAGAAACAATTAAATACTTTTTTCCAGATGGCATTGGTCTTCAAAACAAAAACAAAACTCCGAGTCATAAACAATAGATTATAGAAATTTCAAATGATTTTCTGAAGTAATGCCACAGACATGATTACCAGACTGGAAGACAAACAGATGACAAACCAAACTTTGATATAAAGGGTAGACCATTTAATAAACAATCACTTAGAATCTTACATCAAAAGTGGATGGAATAGCCGTGTATGTAGGGTCCTCCAGCTCTGGTGATCCACCAATAAAAAACCTTCTCATCTCAGATACAAAAGATGGCCCTAAAGGTCGCCAGCAATGGACAGTCTCCTTGTACACTCCTTAAAAAGCAGATTTATCAAAATGGTTTATTAAAAATCAAGTGTATAGAATTAATGCCATAACATTCTTTCTTTTTCATTTCTTTTGTTCCAAAGTCATGTGAAATGACTTCAATTTCTTATGACTACTTTTTATAGATTCTTGCCATAAACAAATATATTTTGTCCAAAAAACAGACAGGAAAAAACATATATCTCCCTTTAAGTGTTAACAGTGTTAGTGTGTACTTGGTTTACAGATTCAGCAAGCATGGAATAAGTCAATGGTGATTCAGGTATACACATAATTATAGCTCACCTGGACGAGGTGGGATGGCTAAATAAGTGTAGCCCTCAGTCCGGAATCTGTTCCAGGAATCCAGAGATAATACCTCCATAAGGATGAATGGAAAATGGGGAAATGGATCTACGATGTTTAAAATTATTTCAGATCACTAACAAAGAAAATGGATTTAAAATGAATGCAAATATTTCTAATGAACCATTAAAGAATCAGATTTTGATCTATGTGAAATGTTCAAAATTATTTCAGATCAATTTATGATAGACGCAATGGAAATGGATTAAAAATAAAAATAAATACATGTATTTCTAATTAACAATTATTTAAAACATGTTAAATAAATTACATGCAGATAATGGTTTATTCAAGTATTTTTCTTTGTATTTTTATTTCCTTAATATATTCAGTTAATACATTACCTTTGTTTTCTTCAATGTAAGTTTCATCTTTGTAAAACATTTCAAACTCAAAAGGGAAACTAAAGTGTGCTACATCATCCTAGAAACATGTAAAACAAAAAATATGCATGTTTACCAAGAATTTTTATCATGTGAATGTAAATGATTTTATATGAGGCCATGTTTAAAAATTTGTTTGGTTGCCCTCTCCCGACCGACTTGCTCAAAGTGGCCTGACTCTAAACTTTTTCTAACCCCCAGAAAACAATTATCTTATATGCATTCTGGAAAATAGATTTTAAAAATTTAGCACTGATTTGAAAATTTTCTGTGAAAAAATTTTTTCCATCTACCTACCAACCCAACTTTTTCATCCTAAGTTGGGAGAGGGCAATCAAGAATTATTTTAAAGTTGGTCTGAGTTCTTTTTTTTTTTTCATTATACATGTACATGTACATGTATAGTACTTTGGTATTTGTTTCTGCTAAACTTTTGAAATGCCAAAATTTTGCTTCAAAACTCATTACCCTGCCTTCCACTTTCGTAGCACAGGTCTGAGTAACCCAAGATAGTTGCTGATGTCTATCAACCTTCCAATCTAAAAACAAATTACAGGTATTTTCTACAATGCTTCATAGAAAGAACAAACTTCTGGTAAATATAACCTGGTTTATAAATTGACGTTCATTTTTCTCTTCTGTAAAACTTCACTAAGCATGACTTACTTTTAGGTATATCAACAAAGAAGTGAATGTATAGATCATCAAATTCAAAATCTTTGGCTCTTTCTGAAAGAAAATAGATAACCATGAGTTCAGATATATTCTTGCATAGATTTTCTTGAAAAAATTTAATTAGTATTTAAAAGCAAATGGATAGGGCAAAAAGAAAAGCAAGAATATTTAAACACACCTATTTCACCACAGACCATAAGCCGCAACACTTCAGGAGGAGGCTAAAAATAGAAAACATTGCAATAATTCAGGTGAAAAAAATCCTGCTTTTCGAACTGGTATCAACTATCATTATCAAACAATACTCACGAGTTCAAATTCGTGTCCGACACACGCTGACAAGAAGTCTTTATGACGACTGTAAACTTCTCTATACATCTTCATCTCTCTGTCCTGATCTTGTCTGTAATAGAACATGTAATAACATCATGAATGCATCAATTTATGTTTTATGAATATTTTAGATTCATTTAACAGAAAGGCTCAAAATGAAAGACCAAATTATATTTCGTTACTTACCTACTCATAACTTTTGAATCATGTTCAATGGTATATTCAAAAACCTCTGTAAGAGAAAATACATGTACAGTATTTCACTGAAATTTTCAGTAACTGTCGTCATAATTATTTGATGCTCAGTATCTACAAATTTATCAGCATCTAACCCATATGTGAATTGTTAGAGACAAATGTCTGACATAAAGCTTTTCATGTGTTGCACACAATACAACAAATATTGGACAAATGTACTCTAACAAAAGCAGAAGAAGAGTTTGATGTTAAAGCGAAGGCACTATGGAGGGGAAGCTTCTTCTTACCTCTTCCCAGACTAGCTGTCTCGGCAACATAAGGTTTCCTCCCTCTGTTGAAGTCTGGCCTGATACAGAGAACACCATTAGCGTCCAGCTGTAGTGAACACAGGATCACCTCATCCCCCTCCTCATAAGGTCTATAAATAGAAACATCTGTAATCTGTCAGGCAATAAGAGGAAACGAAGCTGGATCTTATCATGTTATTGACGAATACACTTGTTCTTACATCAATGATTTAATATACTAGTATTAATTTTCATAACATACTGTTCCAAGAAAACTGTGAAAAGGGTTCTTCTTGCTGATTCAAATTGAACAAGTACAAGTATGTCATGAAATTTTTCATTATGATTTAGGTAAAACTTTAACATCTCTCTTGATAAGATTATCAAAGAGTATCAAATTTTTATAGTTTGGTAATAAAGAATAAATTGCTCTAAATTGGCATCTCATAAATATTAATTTATAGCCTTGTGATACATGAAATACACGTAGATTCACATATCAAATATATGTAAATATGTATATTGTTTTTAAGATTAACATATACATGTGAAGTCAAACCTCATGATCTCCAAGGATTCAGGATAGAGATTAAAATACATAGAGAAATATTAATTGGGCCTTCCAACTAACTTCCACATATCCATGTTACCTGAGATCTTGATGTTTAAGATACTCAAGTTCACCATATAAAACTCACCGGTCCTTAGGGCCAAGGTCGGCCATGATGTACATAACTTGTGCTGGGGCTGCCATGATGTGGTTCTTATTCCTGAGTTCCTCAGATGGAGTCTCCTCCACGATGTTAAGCTTGGGGACAAAAGCGATACCCCTGTAAATACATTACACCAATGATTACACTATGAAACAAAATTGCTGAAACTACATACACGTTCTCATCTTTGTATCTCTATTAAAGATTAAAGACTTTCTTAGTTAAGCTTTTGTTCAGTGCCAAACTGTACAAAAGTATTTATGATATTAAAGAAAAAAATAATTTAGATGAAAATTTTAATTGGCAGAAGTTTGTCTGTACCTCTCTCTCGACTTTTTGCCACCACCAATTTTTCGTCTGCGTAGATGTGCCATTTTCTCAGCTAGGATTGTAGGTGTTTCCTTTGGTGAATTTGTCATGAAAAATACAGCCTACAATGTAAAAGGATCAAATCAAACCATTGGAAAGAGGTGGAAAACACATACATAAAACATTTCTTCTGGTTTGATATGAATTTTTGCATGCCGGTCTGATATGTGATATGGGTTTTCAGACTGGTCATTGATATGGGGTATAGTGACGTTACCTGCGGACGCACAGTAAGGAATCAGTGTATTAACTACTAAGCATATGATAATAATGAATATCCTTCTGTCACAGAGTGCTGATTTTGTTGCGGTTACACAGCTTTAAATATTCTTATTGTACTGTCTTAGATGCCAAAGTAATCGAACTCAAATTGACCAATGATATTTTCTTTGAGATACACTGTAGCGGTAGTAAACATTTGTTTGTAGATTTACAAATACATGTACCTCTTGTCTTAAAGTACAAGACAGCATACCAATCTTTCTGAAAATACATTAGTAAATATACTGGAATGACAGTGAGTTCTCTTTCAAGATATGTCTCCATTAAAAGATGGATTTATAGATTTACAGAAGTTACCTCATCTTGCTGTGAGAAATTATCATGGTCTACGTATGTAAATAATCTGTTGGTTGGTTGACCTCTGCTCCTAGATAGATATAAAGAAATGGACATTTTTAGCATATTTCACAAATCATTATTTACCAACACTACCTTTTATTAAAATGTATTTTTTTTTAAAAGCCAATTGCCAAGAACATTGCTTTCCTCCATATTTCATATTGGAAGATCATGTACTAGACCATTAAATAATACTGTTCATAAAACATTTATTGTTAATTCTTGATTGATATATTTCACTGAATTTTAATGAGGCATTCTTTATGACAAGTTACTTACAGAATTTCTGTTACTTGAGCATTGTAGTCTTTCTCTAGCTGTGTTGTGCAGTTTGCAATGTTTTGGTAAAATCCAACTTCTCGCTGTAAAGACATTACATGTATATACTAAATGTATAAGCACTGGTAGATCCTTTCATCATTAAGCTGTATTTTAACATAAAATTCTCATGTTTGAAAATGCTGATTTTCTAAGAACTATCTTACAGTCATGATAGCATCGCCTCTCATGAATCCAGTTATTTCCTTTTCAAATGAAAATATCATCCAGAGTACACATCATTCCATTCTTCAATAGTTCTTCAATATCTTGCTTCATTAACTTACATCATTGAAACTCGTTCAATCAGTACTTTTCTCTACCTATACCTATGTTCTAACTGACCTTGCTGAATTCTTTTTGCTGCCAGTTGAACACCCTTTCTTCAATGTCCTGCATGCTCTCTTGAACCTTCTGCATCTCAAGATTAGAGCCATCTTGTTCTAGATTACTTTGTGGCACAATGTTTGATGATGAAATTCTGCTTAACTTCACACTACAAAAACATTTTTTAAATTCGTCTATCAACTGAATTGATTTTTTTATGTTGCATGAGGACATGAAATATGATGCTTCATGCAAGCATGTCTCAGCAATTTATGATAATATGCAGGCTCAAACACTGATATCTTGAATACCATGGATATATCCCAGTGATCTGAAAGTCCCAACCACATATTCCTTTAGTATTTTACCCTTGGTATCTTGAATCCTTGGATATCTCAAAGTTTTTTTCTCGGTCCCATGGAGTTCAAGATAATGAGGTTTGACTGGATTCTAATGCAATTGTTTTGTAAAACACATTTTGATTGGCTAATGGACTGATGTTGGAGTCAGATAATGAGTATTAATGAGAGTGAAAGCTTTTGATTGTGATGTCATTAATAGAAGAATGCACACATAACCCTTAATGACGTATTTCGTATAATAAAACGCAACAAAATACAAAATGTAAGATGTAAACATCAAACAAAATGCTTAAGGTCAAGATCTAGTAAATGACTTTAGACTGTCTTTTTGGTGCTAGATCCATTATGGCGTCATAATCAGTTTAAACTTTCTTTTTCCCGTACTGTACGCCTCTAATAGAATAATGTAGAAAATAAAGTTTTTTCATAGAATTCAATTTGAAATCATGTGAAAATTAGTCCCGAAACCTATATTCAATTTGATATTAATTTAAAGAAGAGGATAAGAAGAAACAAATTACCATTTTCTGAGAGACTGTAGGCAATCTGGATTTATTTCCTTTCTCCAGTAAAGAAAAAACTCCCATATTCATGACTGATTTTATTAATTTTTCATCAAAAAAGACAGTTTAAAATATGATTTTTCGTCCTGTTTACCTACAGAGTATGCCCCGATACACCTTATTTGACCAAGCTACACTTAAAAAGCATCTTTAAAGGAACTTATTTCTCAAATTTGAGAAATCTGTAGGCTACTTTCATTTACTAGATCTTGACCTTAAATTGCATATGAATGGGATTATATAACTATCTTCTCATTTGTTATTTGCGACCTTTGATTTAACAGACACAAACATCTTTTTTACTGGCTCCACTGAGGTGTTGTTGGTAAAACTCAGTTTGCAACCAAACTGAATTAATGTTTTCGAGATTTATTTTGCAATCAATTGAATAGAATTTATAAGAACCAAATACAGTAAAATACTGTAATTCTTGTTAATTCTGTTGTTCAGTTTTGTAATTCTGTTGTCATATGTACATACAGCTGTATACCCCGGTAATCGATACAGAAAAAAAAATTGCTGAAGAATTTTGTCCCAATTTGGAAAAACTTAATTTTGATTCATGGAAAACTTTCCCTATGTTGTAGAGTAGGAGTATCCCCTTTTATGCATGTTAAGATTTAATTTGCTTTTCCTCTGATTCCTTTCCTTGGAGTCACAGAACTTGCAACACTGGTAAGTTTTGTAACATCATTTTACTGTAAAATTTCTTTAGGGGCGCTTTGACCAAAATCAGGGGGCGCTTTGACCTTTTATTAGGGGGCAGTTTTGTAACATCATTTTACTGTAAAATTTCTTTAGGGGGCGCTTTGACCAAAATCAGGGGACGCTTTGACCAAAATCAGGGGGCGCTTTGACCTTTTGTTAGGGGGCGGTTTTGTAACATCATTTTACTGTAATATTTCTTTATGGGGCGCTTTGACCAAAATCAGGGGACGCTTTGACAAAAATCAGGGGGCTCTTTGACCAAAATCATGGGGCGCTTTGACCTGGACGGTTTTGTTTGGGGGCGCATTGACTGGCTCCCATAATAGAAGTAGGAAGAGGAGCGATAAAGGATCATATTCTACTAGTTCATCTTAAAAAAAAACTTTTGTCATGGATGACTGTGGACTCAAACATGAAAATAGGATACACTTTGTACTGATAAACATCTTGTATATTCTGGATGTTATGGGTCTGATTTCGGTTCGTTTTCTATGATTCTGGAAAAGGATTATGAATATACAGTCAAACCTCGTTATCTTGTAAGGGACCGAGAAAATACTTCAAGATAACCAAGGATTCTAGATATCCAGGGTAAAATACTTATTAAATAAGGAAATAAGTAGTTGGGACTTCAAAATTACTTTGACGTATCCATAGTATTCGAGATATCTGTGTTCGAGATACTGATCGAAGTTCAACTCTATTAGTAAATAATGTAATGGTTTCGACCGTGGATATCGGCCTGGATGTCTCAGTCAGTAGAGCATCTGGCTATTCATGCAGTGGTCCCTGGTTCGATTCCCAGTCCAGCCATTCATTTTCTCCTTTCCTGTTTCAATGTAAATCACGCATAACAATGTTCAGATCAAACACTGGGCAAATCTCTTTAGTCAGAGTCAATATTCAACATGGGGTCACTTTTCAAGGAATTGTGGTCATGATTACTGATATAAAAAAAAAATAAATACAAGTTGTTGAAAAATGATCCTAGGCATGAATTTCACAACTCTTAGTCTCAATTTTGCAACGTTTGAAATATCACCCACGGTTCAATATTCATCATTGAAAATGAACCCGGAGTCAACTTTCAACCCGGTCAAAACACCAACCGGTACTTCTGGTTTTGTTTGTACACTCCTCACTTATAACATGATATAACAACCTTTAAAATAAATTGAAATGAGACTGAGGAAATTCGAAATGGTCACACACTGAACATTTCGAGTTATTCCTCCCCATCTCTAGAAAAGGTATGCGCTGATGAAAAGATCGTACAAAAATGTACTAAATGTTTGCATTACCGTATCTTTAAGTTTTTAACTGGGTCGCTAGACCTGTAATATGCTGCTCCCAAGTCAGGATCAGACAGGTCGGCCATGACGCTCCAAACAATCAACGTCAAACAAACGCTTTTATCGAGAGGCCCATGGGTTACAATCCTCACCCAGAGCATTTTTATTTTCAATCTTTAGTTCCATGACGTGAAAATGTTTTTGTACTTATTATGTCTTGTACTTTTTTATGTAGTAATATACAGAGGCGTTTACCCTATTCTGCAGTTTTCAGTAATTTATTAATAAATGATTTCTCTCCATAATTTGAGTTTTTCATCCATAATTTATTGTTGGCTATAGATTGTCTTAATTTTCTTAGGTACATTTCATTACTTCTAGATGAGAATTTTTATTGTTACATTAATATCTATTTTGTCAGCATATGTATCATGCATTAGATGGCAGCAGGGACCTATATACTAACCCTAATTAAGTATATAGGTCTCTGATGGCAGAAGCATAAATTTCAGAGGACAATCTGTAATTCATATTTTAAAACAAAAATCGGGATAAATACGGATTTCTGTAATAGTAAGCAGCTCTATATATACAATTACTTTATGACTCAAGACAGTCAAGTGAAATACGAAACACGTTTTGCCTTTCTCAAAAGTGTAATAATTTATATAATAGAAACCTTTTTTTTTTCTATTGCAGTCCCTAACCAGAAATCTGTGACAGTCTGGCATATTCATTTTCTGTGGCCGGAGGCAACTCTTTAAAATGATCATCTATAGTATAGGGGATATTAGGATTTGAATCATATGGTCTGGACAACTCTGGTTCATCATATTTCTTAATATTCCTCCCAAGAGAGAATACCTATTTCCCACTATGTTGTAAAGTTATTCTCTGCTTGACCCATCATCAATTTTGGATGAAATAAAAAAACTATTTCTCATTCAAATTGTTGTACTCTGCACTATTTAAATGATTTTAAAGGTTAATTAGTTTTGTCTATTCATTTTCTGAAACATCATTGTATTAAATATATCTTCAAGAGGTACATGAAAGCTGGAAACACATCCTCATATATCTATTAATGGAAATGCGCATCGAAAGCAAAGTTTCAGGAAGTTTTCATTCTTCTAGTCACCCACATCTTTTTTATTCACATAGTACAGTAACTATACATTCAAGGGTTTGATCCAAAGAGTGCTTTCTATTATTCTGTGAACATTAACAATTATATGTTTTTTCTCTTTCTCAATTATATGAAAAGTTTCTGAAAGCAATACCAGGCAACTATTATATTCATCAATAGCCTTCTATTTACTTTTCCTGGTGTTCCATACATCGTTAAACATTCCAAAATTAATCAAACACAGCAGTGAACTGAAATACATCTTCAAATAAACATCAGTAAAATCAAATTTGAATTTTGTCATTTGGTTTTATTCATTCTTAAATACATGTAAAAAGACATACAATATTGCATCTCCAGAGTCATACACACATCTAGAATTTCTACAAACAATAAATAACCTGGTATTTTTCTCTTCCAACCAGGGACAGCATCTACAGCAACCTCAAACAGAAATAGACATCATATGACTGGTCATGTGACCACCTGAATATCAATGACATGCAAGCAATCTTTTATTTCATTTCTGTGATCATTTATAGTATACCTGATATTTTGTAAAATGTTCAGAAAATGAAAACCATCCATAAACTAGGTTTTCAGAGGTCAACACAGTTTATGACCACTATACTGCTCCACTGGCAGACAGTAATATATACAAATCTGATAATTTTTGTTGTCAAATCCTCTCTTATAATTAAAACTCATGAAATAACATATAATAGAAACTCAATGTCTAGCATGGTCTAAAATATTTAAGAAAGTTTAACATACATAGATACATACTATACATATAATGGCTATTTAAAAAAAAAAAATCACATTTTTACAGTCACGGGAGATAATGTTGAAGTAACGATTTCATCTTAAGACAAACACTTGACATTAATCACTCTCGTCTATTGTGAACAACATATTATAAGCACCACTAAAATAGATTCCTTTGGTTTGACAAATTTTATCAGCAAATAATGCAAAAAATGTTACTAGTATTATAGATCAAAAGTTTGACCTACACAATTTCTCACTGTATTACATTCAAATCAGGTTTTAACTTGGAATGCCCTTCTCTTTTAATTTTTGCAGATGTCAAATACTTTCAAAAATTTCAGCATAGGATGTTACTCGAAAGACTCAGTATGATTTAATTTTTACAATGGCAGGTGAAATGTTGATGAAATACAAATTGTTACTTTGTATGCACCCTTTGAAATGATTGAAAAACTTCATATGAAAAATGCTAACATATATGATCATATATTTTCCACAATGTATACAATGTATCGGTAGCAGTAAAAATGCTACAAAACCATTACCCATTGTCAGACAAATGCAAATAATATATATATTTACAAATTATCTAAGCATCTGAAACATGATATAATGTGTGGATGCCCCCCCCCCCCCCCCAAAGTTTTTAAAGAAATCATCAATTTCTTGAAGTTAATCAGAAAAAGTTTTTTTTTAATCATCCCTTTTTTTGAAGTTAACCAAATTATTCAACAGAAACCCTTTTAATTTTGAACATCAAAGTTGAAATTTAATTCTTGATTAACTCTTTAGAAATCATTTGCATAAAATCAGCAACCATCTAGTCAAATGCCTCTACACACATAAAACACAGTCTAAAGTGGTTAATGAAAATTGTACACAAAAAAAAAAATACAGGAAGGGACAGATTTGGAATGCAGTTGACAGAGTGATGCATCATAAATATTGGGGATCAATCAAGAATTAGCCAATGAAAAACCATGAACTAGCCATGAATTTTATAGAACTATTTTTACACATGTTCGTTCATTCAATCATAGCTTTTCTTAAAATCCATCTGATACCTGAATAGTTTTAAGGCAGTGGCATTTGGAAATGTAACATGATATAAAGACATTGAAAGCAAAAATTCTGTAGTTAGTAATTGTAGTATATGTATACACATTTCTCAGTTTACATTCCAATTAAATGCCAAATTAAAGAAAATGGTTAAACCAAACACATTTCTCTTGGTCTTAGCAATTCATAACTAATCAAAGAGCTAAAGATACAAATCCAATGAAAATTAATAAAATGCTATCGAAAATTACAAATAAAACAAAAACACATGCATCAACATACAGATAACACAAATGTACATGTTTCCATCTGTAATATTAATTTACATGTACCAAGATCTTTTAACACAAACCTTATATTTAAAGGTTTCAGTCTGTGTTCCCTGAGCATGTTGCAATGATGTTTTGAACACTTGCTCTAAATATTTCAGCAATGTAATTAATTAACTTACAAGTAAAATACTTGAGTTCATGCAACTCTTATAAACTTAAAATTAATTTATACTATATCATATATAGTAATTCTCAGTTGTTTAATGCAACTGTGCATATGCTGTACAAAAAAAAGGAAATAACCCAATATATTCTACATAAAAGAAGATAAATAAAATGAGATCACATTTCGACTTTGTAATGCATGGACATTTTGCTAAACTGCATCAGAATAATACTTAAACTTAATGGGTTGCATTGTAGTTCCCGTGTCCACGAAATGGCAAATGATATTATTTACAGACTTGGTCGTGTTGTATGTACACTAATATCTCACATGTAAAGGAAATACCAAGTATTAAAATGCCATCTCTGAGTTTTTTTTCATTGTAAAATTCTTGCTGAGCAACTTAGGATGGAACAAAAAATAAATGGAATTCAAATGGAGATAATAATGAAATCAGATCAAATGCATTTGGTGTCCTAACAAGGAGTTGTCTCCCTTCGAATACACTTTCACACAATATAAAATGCAAATGAGCGTTGACTGAACATTATGGTGAGGTGACTACTGTTAAACAGTGGCAGTTACAGATTTATACAATTAAACTTTTCATACGGGGAGCACCTTTGATTTTACACATTTTTACTCAATCACAACTTTGGAATTCATTATGCTTAACCCAAAGAGATCCTCATTATAATAGCATTGTATTGCATCTGTTTCTCTGTACATCATTGGTCCAAATTTTTATCACAGGTTTCTCTTGATGTGGCAATTTTACTCCCAGGCATGAGGCGATGGAGGGAGTTCTGAAGGTTGGGCGACTTGTGAACTGAAGAAATATAGAAACAGAAATTGTAAGACATGACTGAAAATAAAGTATCAATTTTTACATGCATTTATGCTTATTCTCATTGATTTTAGGCACAGAAACATGCATAACTTAAAATACTAATAAATTAAGACTATGGAAGATGTGTTTCTTCTTCAAGGCCAAACAAGATTGTGGGTTATTTATATATCATCCTCTATTTAGATTAATTTCAAGGGCTAAAGTGACTTCATAGTATTTAAGACTTTCCTTCTTGGTGCAAAAATTCCTATGGGTTTTCATAAAGGATATCCTTACTACAATCTTCATTGATTTGAGTTACATAAGTCTATATACTCTTTACCAGTACCAGATGAGGAGTTTTATGAGTATGAAATTAGATTATTTTGTGTAATTGGAAAAATCAAGGATTTCTTCAGGATTACTGAAGCTTGGGGTTTTTTAATGACTGCAAATGAAGTGATGGGGAGTCACTGCAACAATGAATCAAAAACAAGCAAAAGAAAATAACATAAAAAGCCAGGCATTTGCAGTGTTCTAAGGTTTTTTTGCGCAGCAAACAATTTCAAATTTTCTCACACTGAGTACATCTATCTCTTCAAAGAACCCTCCCCGGTAAATGGTACCCTAAAATATAATACAAAGTTCATCAACATTGTTTTTTTAACATGGTACTTTTCAATGTGTACTTTTTTCCCCACCCAGCAAAACAGTTTTGGTGAAAATTTGAGGTGTAAAAAGGAGAAAACAGGAGGGAAGAATGCCATATAGAAAGGTAAGAATAATGTTTAAACTTTGCAAATCTGTTCAATGCTTCAGTCTTGTTCCTTTTTTGTATACATGATTTTTTTGGGGGTCCCAATAAAAAGCATCTTACATTTGTAAACATCCAACATTTTTTTCTTGATATTGTTCTCCAGCAAAGTTCTGTACAACTACACCGAGTTCTCTGACAGAGACCATTTGAACACTAGCATTTTTGTACAGAGGATTATGTTTTAGTGATTACTAGCTGCATGGCTCGCTGCTGTTATCCAATCAAGGTGATTTCTTAATTAATTAGTGGTTACGTAACCATGTGTGCTGTGACCCAAAATCTAGTTTGGACAGATCGTCAAATAATTTTGGAACTAACACAATTATTTTTTCAGAAGTTGCAAGCAATATTGCTTCTTTGATTTTTCTCCATGTAAATTGCATAAAAATGAAAAAGAGTACTCGAGCAAATTTTTTTCTTCAAAGTTACAGATTCAATAAACAGAAACATATATTATAGAACTTTCAAGAGCTACAAAGCTTAGCACTGGTCTCTCCAATGTGAATTTTTATAGTGGAAAACACAATCACTAAATTTTCAGCAAGTTCCTAATGTTATATTTATGGAGGGCTGTGAGAGTGAAAAATGAAAATTTTACTGGTCATTATAGTAAGAAAAAGTGCCTTTCAACTTCTCATCTATTTTTTTTATCTGGAAAACACAATAGCTCCAAGCTTTATCCTCTCAATCTTACCTTGCAAAATTCTTGAATGACATGGAATTGGGATTGAGACATAAAGGAACTTTGTTTTTCTGTTGCTGTTCTAGAATATATTTGTGTAGTTTATCTGAAAGAATAAAAAAACAAATTGTATGTGTGAAGAATGATGATACCTTGAAATTGCTAGTTCATATGCAATTAAAACAACTTTCAAAATGATGACTGCTTTTTTTTTTTTGTTTTCATCTTTATGTAATGAACACTGTACCATCTCCTATATATCTCTGTACTGATGCACTGAATTTTCATATTTTTAAACACTGTTATCTTCTGTATACCTCTGCAATGATGCACTGAAGTCAGTCCATCTTCAAAGCCATAGCTGAAAGGCTGATGGCACACCGGTTCAAAATCTGAGGTATACTGACGTCCAGCGGATGTGTTATGGCAGCATTTACACATGCAGGAGTGGTAGCGCAACCGCCCCTCGTCTAAATAAGGGTGAGCAAGGGCATCAGCTGCTTTTATTCTCTTATCCTACAAAGAGAAAAGCAGAGTGCATTACAGTGTTATGTATAAAGCCAAGGTTATTTGATAATTGAGAATGATCAATATTTCAGACCTTGTGATAAACATCACTGATCTTGTGATTTCTTTGTATATATGTTTTTTCCCTCTCTGAAAAATATGTCCTCAGTATGGAAACCATGATTATTCATCAACACATCATTAATTGTTATTTTCCCCCCAGAATCAAACAAGATAGCTGTGTATTGATTGGAACTTTATTGCTGATGAGTGTGCCCTTGGCTACTTCTCAGCCAGTAATGGAACATCAAGTCAATATCCTAAAGACACTCACTGTAAAAGCTGTGAGAAAGGATGTTCTAGCAGATTACTGAAGCATGACATTTACCCAGTCATTTACCCTTTGACCTTTATATACTCCTTTACCCTTTCACCTGACAACTAGTACTTACTGGATCAAATACAAGCATGCGACACAGGAGATGCACAGCCTCATGGGAAGCCTGGCTGGATAGGGTGTACAGAGCAGCGAGGGATGGTGGTTTGTGTGCTGACCGCAGTATGTGAGTCTTGGCCCCTTCACAAGCTGTTCTCATATCCTCCAAGTTCGGAGTGCCTAAAAGATCTGTGATCAAGTCCAGCTGTAACATAATATATGCATCTATTTAGAAAAATGTTTGGGATATTGAATGTGGGCATTTATAAGATAAGACATTTGATAATTCCAATTTCTGTCCATTTAAAATGTCACATTTTGCACTCTCTTTACATACACCCTCATTTTTTTTTATTACCCATGGCATTTACCATTTTCTGATATTTACGAATCTGTGCCAGGACATTTCAGAATATCAATGCAGTATGGAACAGTAGAAAATCACTACCGTTAAACTAGTATCAAGTCATTATTTACATAAAAGGGATTAGGCCTCAAACTTGAACAGATGTAGTTTAGATAGGGCTCCTGTCAGCCTTAAATCTGCTGGTTGGGAACAAAGGCTGGTGAATGGCCAACCCAAAACTCAGTGTAGTTAAAAAGTTGACACTCCATAAAAAGGTCATTCCTCTTCAATGTAACTGTCTCACAAAGATCAGCCACATAGCATACACAACAATGTCAACAACAACAAACAACAAACCTAAACACACTCTGATTGGTTCAACAACATTATCATCTACAACAACACACCCATTCTGAGATCATGATTGGAAGACCAATTCACACTGATGTAACAAACTCATTTACAGGCCAAAAATAAATACTGATACTAACATAAATCTGAAATGAATAATTCTGAATAGGTATTAACTGTTAACACAGGCAAAGTTAGTCACCACTGTCTATCCTAAGAACATGATGAGGTTCAAATACTTCTGAAAAAACTGTTCCTTGGCTTGATAAACTCCAAGACACCTATACATTACATAAAAAGAATGCACAAAAACCCTATTATGATTTAGTAATTTAAGATTAGTATATACCTTTACTAACAACATTTAAATATCCTGATACAGAGATTTATTTTGGTACTTTTTATGGTGAAAGCTAGATACCCAATGGAAGATAAAATATCTCCGGGTTGGGTTAGTTAAACAAGCACAAAGGGTCAGTACCATTGTCTGATAACAAGTGCTGACACGCACAATCACCTGTGCATTGTGTGCAAGCCAGGTGAAACATTTGTCCAACGGTCAGCAGAGTGTCACCCCCAGGGCACAAGCACCACACAGAACCAGCGACTTTATTAATGTCCTCTATACCTGGGTCCAACTAAGAAAACCCATTTCACTACAAGCCCATAACTCATGCAGCAGATGGATGGAGATTGAATCAAAGCCATGTTCCACAGTATATGTACTTAAACCAAAAACAAACAAACAAACCAAAAAAAAAAAAAAAACATTAATGAAATAAGAAAATTCTGTCTCAAGTTCTAAACCCACATACTGATCCAAAAACGATGCCTTAATCCCATCCTTTAAATTCCTCCTAGGAATTTGATTCATAATACAAAAAATATGTGTAGACAAAAGACTAGCACCTTTGTCATTGCAAGTTTTGTTTACAAGGTTTAAAACATTGACCTGGATCACACCTTATCAGACTAGAGATCAAGCTTAATGACCCAGTAGACATTCCTGAGTTCTGCAGAGTCAGGCCATTTACTGCCATTTTAGCAAAAGTAGCTAAGGCATAGAAAATGACTAAAATCATTAGATCGCCCCAGTTCAGGTCTATTTCTGGAATGTCTAGCAATATACTGTACATATTTACATAACCTTTCTTTTATGACAGAGGATTCAGCAATGATTTCTGCATTATAACTGTGTTATGTCCAATGATGGCAGCCCTATGACTTATAGCACTGATGATTAAGGATTAGCCAGCTTTGGAGTGATTGTTTGCGGGTATATGTGTAATCTCTGTATTAATGATCTAACAATACAGATCTCCATCAAAAAGAGCAGCCTCATACAGTTACACACACCACAGAAAAAACATCTGTTACTGCACCAGGCAGGCAGCGGCCAGATACCACAGGGCACTAGCTACATGAAAATTTACTTTTGATCTATTTCTAGCAGATAAATCATCCACCTCTGAGTAAATCTAGCTAATAAGGTACACAGCAAATTAATATTTAGATACAAATCTGTTACTAGGGTCTATTTACCCCCTTTTTTCTGATCATGCCTACCAGATGAATAATTGATGCAACAAACAACTCCATTGTCAAACATCCAGGTCATCAATAAAGAACCATTTCTAACATAAAATTTTCACCAATTTTATCATAGGATCTTGCTTATACAGGTTTAGCAATAAAGAAATGAACTTTTCTAGGGCTAATGCTCTTCTAATAGAGTCTGCTAATTTTTATCACTAAAGCCGGTGGGTGCTACAGGGTAAGACCTCATTAGAGCCTGATATTCCTCTCTCAGATTTAATATACAAAATTACTACCACTGCAAGATAAACAGACTTAAGTTTTTCTATTAGAATATGAATTTCAATTTTTCAGAGTAACTGCAAAACACAGATCACTTGCACTTGCTATAACATGCTCACCAGCTGTTGCTATGTTGCATAGTAACTTTATCTTATACTAATATTTCTAGGTGATAATGGACACATATTATATTTATGAAAACCCCAGACAATACAATGTATTGCTGATACAGCACATGGGCAAGCATTCTAACTAGATATGGGTTCGACAGCTTGCAAACCAAGACATATCCTTTCATTACTGTCATATCACCAACAAGGCAAGAAAAATGACAACACTCAAGTTAGACCTGATCAATCAGGTGGATTAAATATCACAATTTTTTTTTGCTACAAATATGTTTTCTAAATTAATTGAGGGCTGAGAAGCCAATAAATCAGGCAAATATAATTGGTATTAAATTCCTACGACCTTGACCTGACCGTTCACCTTAGCAAAACATAAAACCTCTTCCTCTTCATGTAGTTCAAACTAAGCAGTACATAAACATGTAGTAGAATACACAGCAAAGAGAGAGTATATATGATCTTGATTGTATGAAAATCAAGCAAGATTTAAAAATACATGCAGCTCCTTCAAAATAATGACTCGGTGACAGACACAATAATTAAAAGCTTTTTGACTTCCAGCACATATCATCAACTAGTACAAACTATGAATTTATGCCCCCAAAAAATTAAAGCTGCAAAGACTGTTGACTAGCTACATACAATTTTGTCTTGGCAAAGGAAACAATGCACATGAAATCTGGTTAATTTTATACCGATAAATGATCTAACTTCACATACATATATATATATGTCCTCAATCAATCCTTTAGAAATCTATATAATAGAGGGTCAAAATTCTCAGGATCTGAAGTAGTGAATATGTATATGTGTGTATTGAAAAAAAAATTTGGTATGCAGACCTGCTGAATGGGACTCTGAGCCTGGAAGAGAATGCGACGACCCAGTAGTTCCGCAAAAATACATCCTACAGACCAGATATCGACCCCTGAGTTGTAATGTTTGGCCCCCATTAGGATCTCTGGAGCGCGGTAGTATTGAGTCACAACCTCTTGTGTCATGTGGATGGATTCATCTGGCTCTTCAATTCTTGCTAACCCAAAATCACAGATCTGTAAGACATGAAAAACCCTGTTTAATGTTTTAATTAAAAATTGTTACATTTTTATGCCATCTGAAAAGATTAAAAACTTGACCAAAGACAGAACTCTGCATACAGAAAAAAAGATGTATGCAATGTTTCAACTAAAACATGCAGAATATATTGCAATCACATAAAAAAAAACTATACAAAAGGCAACTTTTCTTTTACTCTGTTTTGAAATTATCAACATTTAAATAATAAATAAATAAATATTCTACATTCCACAATTCACTGCAACTACTATAATTTACTATATTTTATACCAAAACAATAAATTATCTTCAACAAACTTCTAGAATTCTGTTGATTTATTCATTTGTTGGAAGACATTAACCTTTTAAGCATATGATGGCAAAACGATGTTTGGTTCGGTTTGATGTTTTGCACTTTTAGGCAAAAAAGAGCAATGTTTCTGTTGTATGTCTATAGGAGTTTCATTTTTTTTATCTCTTCCTAATGACTTAATGAAGTGAAATTGGTGCTGCATGAAGCTTGCTGATCCTTTAATCTCTGGGATAATTGATACAGACCTTTAATACACAGTTGCTGTTGACTAGTAAATTCCCTGGTTTGATGTCTCGATGTAATACACGTGCAGAATGGAGGTATTTCAAACCTACAAAATACAAAATTATCGTAATTTACACCTTTTATAGCATTTATATACAGTGACAATGAGACAACATAAAATATTGTTTACCACAGAATTAAATGGAATGACTGTATTCTGTTATTAATAAAAAATAAATATTACTTCATAAAATATATTGTGTATATAAAATACCAGTGATTCATTTCCAGTAATTATTTATGGTTTTTTGTAAGCAAAATATTTTTCTCTTTACAAATCACAGTCTTGGTATTTAGAATGTGTTTGTTTTTATCAGAAAATGGAAATTCTCTCAAAATCATCAGGGAACATGGTACAGGAAGACATTCTCACCTCTGAGTATTTGGTACAGAAAGACTTTGACATGGTCTGATGTGAGTGGCTGTGGGGAAACGATGATTTTGTGCAAATCACTTTGCATTAATTGTGTGATGACATAGCTAATATCTGGTTAAGGATCATATTCACCAATTAAATACCTAATTATGTGGAATAAGTTTGCAAGTAATATGACCATTTGCTGGAAATTTGACTTTTAAAAAAAGTGCAAGCAACTCTAAATTGTTCCTTTTATTCCATTACAAGATCACAGATTTTTTTTATCCTGGTTATAATTTTCATTATCCTTGAGCATATTTATTTACTATTATATCTATTCATAAACACAGTACATCTCATATTTTATCAAAGACAACATATTTCATTCAGCTACAGCAGAACATTTGTTAACCAGTCTGGAAAATACCATCAATGACCCTATTATGATACATATTGTATTTTATTTCCTTTCCTTTGTTAAAAAATCAAATAAGCTCCACAACAGAATGTAACTTGTGGATGAAAATTGAAAATGGATTCTTATTAAAAATTGAAAGATGGTGGATGATACTCAGTCACCATGGCAATACATTGTCATTAAGGAAATCTTTAACCTGTCAACAAATCTCGCACAAATAATCCAGGTTTCTGAACTTCTCGTACAATGCTTTTACCATTCCCCAATCAATACGAGGATTAGGCCCCCAGTACAACTTTCTCTAGCTTTCTTTTTCCCAATGGCTTCCTATTTTAGAAAGCTGTTATCCCTCTGTCTCTCTAATTATCAGTGAAAATCTATTTGTTAGAGTTTCGACAGGGAAATCATATTGCAAGAACAACACGTGTGGATAATAAATTAAATCCTCTCAGGTACCATGGTGAACCGAACTGATACCACATCTTCCAGATCCAGCTAGGGCTGAATTAACTATTAAAATCTAGATTTCTGTCACACAAAATGAAATGTTTTTTTTTTTTTCATTATTTCAATGATTATACCTGCCTGAAGCTACCGAAATATGATTTTTTCTTTCTTTCAAGAATGAATGAATGAGCATTTTTACGTCATTAATATAATGCATCATTGTTATTATGACTTAACTCCTTTCCTTTGTTACATAATTGTTACCCGGTAAACACCCTTTGTCCACTTAGTGCAAGGACTGGTCAGAAAAGCCTGTCCAAACAGGTCAACACGAGGTCACAAAAGAGGCAAGCCTTTCTTTATCTGGACAGTAGGTGGATGATAAACCTCTCAAATATGTTCACACTTAAAGCAAAGTTATCGAGTGTAAAGTACAAATAACAAACCTGGCAAAGTGTAATCTAACATATATCAAAGATACACCGATTTTGCCTTTTATCGGGCCTACAAATCAATGCAAAAGCTTTTTTAAAAGCAGATCTGCCATACTTACATATACATGTATAATAATAACCTGAAAATAGAACCCATCCCTTTCTATTGGGTTTTAGCACTGGCATGTGTACTAGAAGTCAATGGCACATACACTTACTATTTTTATAATAAAAGATATTTTTACCTTTCTCCAACCAGTTTATTTTTTTTTTTAAGAAATAAGTAAACAGATTCATTAATCCCATTTGCTACACCTACATTTAGAAGCTCATTTTTCTTAAAGAATTATTCAAAATAAAGTCTAGGTATGGCCATGAAATGCGCACAATGTGACCTTTTTCAAACCCCATGACTCTGTCTGTGAATGTGTGAAAAGTAATACCAGGTAATGCACTCTCATACTCCTCTTTAATCCATTCACTATTGCAAACCACCAAATTCTGGTTTATAAATAATTAGTCATTAATTAATACAGCCCGGTTTGCTGATTCAGAGGAACCATAAAATACAAGGAGCCAGAGTGGAACCTGGTCTGACTTCAGAGGACAACGGAACAAAGCTAGTTTATTTGTGCTCAGTCTTGCACAATGGTAATGCAGGTTGACACAATGAAGCCCTAAGAACAGCCACCTTTTTTTGATGGCAGCAGCTTAGAATTAAATGCCACACTTGATTTTTAGTCAATTATTAAATGTGTGAGGAATTTTACATATATAGAGTCTGATATAAAAATCTCACTAGCTTAGGACACTTTATTTTAACTTTTTGACTTGTATGAACTTACATTGTATGACATTTCTTTAAGTTTAACCTAGTGTCTGCAGTCTTTTAACACTCATTATTTTCTGTATAAATTCTTTCCCCTAGATCCCTGTGATCTTATTGGATAACTCAGACCTAATTTTGTGACTGTTTTTGTACCTTGTCAATTGAACAAACAAGGATGTGCACTATGAGTTTCCTTGTCCGGACTCTTAAATCAGGAACTTTTTCTTGCGTACAAAGGGGGGGGATTAGATTACTGAATAATAAGGAAATAAAAAGGATACACTTCCTGAAAGAAGTCAATATGAGGTGGTTGTAGAATGTCCAGTGATGATAATACCTGTAAACAAAAACAAGTCATTATACATGTTCCTCAATGCAACTTCTAGTTAATAGGCTCCTCCAATTTTATAATTTTGCTTTTTTTTCTTTTACAGAATGCAGAAAACAAGTGAAAATCAACATTAACTTATGCCTAAACATAAAAGCACTTAACAAGGTGCTCAAACAGAAATATTTATGTTATCAGCTCTTGCTTTTAAGCACGTACGATCTTGAATAGCTTTCAAGACACAAAAAATTCTCTCTATCTGGCCTAATTTCTCTAAAGACAAACATCTGGGTGACATCATACTAATGCAGTTTTTATGAATGACCATTAAACAACTGGATATTGGCTATCAAATGTGTATCAAGGGTTAGAAGGTTAGCAGTGTGACAGGTGTCCTGAGGTGACAAATTTACAACAACTCTGATCATAACTCCTATATTTTTCTCTCTCAGCTTATTGGGACATTTACTAATTATAGGAACCATTCTTTGCTCAAGCATTTAATTATGTTCTTCCTTTTTCCATAAAGACTGTACAATGAAATAAAGCTGTTAGCATCCCTAAAATAGCTGTACCAGTCTCTAATATACAGCTAATTTTAATCTACTTTCGATAACATGAATGATGGAATGCTGTTAAAGTTATTTAAAAATTCTTTAATGACCTATATATTCAATTTTATTTAAATGTACAGATCACCGCAAACAGAGATCAATAGGCTTCAAAATTCATTTTTAAAAATGTTTAAATTGTTAACAGATTAGATGTCTAGCTTTTTCCAAAGTGCGTCATAACCTCTGCAGTGTCAATTTTTGCACCTATATCCAGGTGAAAATCGAAGGTCATGTCCCATGTTGGCTCACAGCCTGTCTGAACCTTACAACTGATTGATAGCTTTCACTTCTTGCTATAAAACTTATTCCACTTAACTTTTTGGAATTCTTTTACATATCATTTTTGATAAGATAAACCCAATTTTTAAATCAATGTTAACTTTTCTTGTCTGGTGTTAAGGCTTCCAAAAGAATACTGAATACTCGAGATTGTTTTGTTATAAGAAGTTCTTTGTTCTTAATATAAATACTAGAGTCATGAAAAAGTGAAATCCATTGTGATTAATCTGTTGAAAGAAAGAAATTCTCTGGATACAATTATTGTATACAATGAGTGGCCTTAAGAAAGTATATGGTGTGTATAGATAACACATTCTGAAATAAACTTCTGAAAGATGGCTATCATATTCTTTAATCTTAAAAGAGCTCAATACTTTTTTTAAAGATTGACTAAGAAGTTTAAGGTTTGACCTTCATGAACACAAAAAGGGAATGATAAAACACAAAAAACATAAAATAAAGGCTCTTTAATAATAGGCAGCTGTCTAGGAGCATTGCCTGTCAAAGCTATGAAACTTTCCATGAATTAACATCTGGAAAACTGTGTTACAACCAAATGATGTGTTTCACCACTCTGATAAGAACAAAGAAGTACACACAGAATATAATAGTTTTAGATCATATACTTCTAGCTGATAGATGTTTCATTTTGGCATCCACAACTTCACACACCTTAACATGCTGAGTCAAAAGTCATGTATTTCCTCCACATTTTTAGACAAAGAAACCATGGATGGCTTGTTGGGGGTTTTTAATTGCATGTAAAAGTTCATTATCCGCACGAGTGTTATTAGAGATTTTTTTTAAAATAGGAAATCATTCAGTCAGTACTTTATGGGTTTATATGACAGATGTGGGTCAGATGTGGCCAACGACCTAAAAAGGGGTTGTTGTGTTTTAACTTCTTTTACAAATGTCTGATGGAAGTGATTAAAATGCATGACTTGATTAACCCCATCAAAAAAACAAGATTGATAGAATTTGTTTCTATTTGAAATTAATGACATTTTCCAATACTCACATTGTCATGCTTGAAGTGACACAACATTCGTAACTCTCTGTAAACTCGCTTGCAGGACACAAGATTCTGGAAAACATTGGGCATTTTCTTCAAGGCTACTCTCTTACCATCTCTTGGATCTGTCACAGACCTACAATCATAGAAAGTAGTCATTCAAAGCATGCTGCAGTAAGCAATAACACATTCCAAAATAATTCTGTCAAATAAAACTTCAGATGACTATAACATGAAATTCCTTAAGAAGAATTTTTGTCATTATAAATTAGTGTTTGTAGTTTTTTTATTTATAATACAAAAATCAGATGTAAAAATATGTCATTTGGATAATACATGTAAATATGATGAACCAAGTAAAATCATCTTAATCATTTAGATCTTAACTTAACAGTTATTATTAGATGTCAGGGTTACTGGGGTTATAAAATTCTCCCTCATGATAAAATTTTCAGCATTCTTTGGTGAGTGTATGTTATAGAATTTCAAGTCTGAAATCTAAATCTGTTTCTGAATGCATCCATGTTTCATAAATAGTGCATCCAAACTGGGAGCCTTGAAATGTTGAACATTTTATTTATAAATTATTTTTACTATGATATCAATGTTACATCATCTGTCAATATTTCTGTGAATCCATGCTGCCTAATTCAGAAAAGTTATAAACAAGAAATATTAAAAGTATTTATCAGACCTACATTTATTTTTATTATATCTGAAATTTTTCTCTTTTTTATTCTTCCTTGTCAATGAACATTTTTTCCAAAACATAAAAAAAATTCAAACCTAATTTTATGAAAATTAAAAAGAAAAAATATCAATAAAGTTTAACATGTATTTGAGAAATTTGAAAAAAATGTGAACTTAGTATATTTCTCAGGACATAAAATAATCTTGGCACTGTCTAGACATAACACTCTTCCTTGGAGTCTGTAGATATGATGAGATGTGGCATTCCTTTTGGTGTATATGAACTTGTGTACGTGTGAAGAATCTAGTTCACACACTGACATTATTACACAAAGTGTACAGCTGGCTACCAGGGGTAAATCCCTGCTGACTCTATCAATAAAGCACACCTCAGCAGGGAGCCAGACTAAGCATTTCATTCAACTGTGGCAAAATTAACTCAGTCATACTGAGATATTTGTATCTATTTATTTAATAAACAACACTTTTCACTAGTTAAAAAATTTATAAGATACACAATCAATAACAAAGGACTTTTCTCATTAATAAATATCACAAATTCACACTTTAATCTTATTAATTCTAAATTTTGTCTGTAATTTTTTTTTTAATCAAATATGGTTAATGTTTTAATCTTCAGTAGAATTTTGTCATCAGTGGGAGTGAATAACAATGGAATTGTTTTGAACAAATATAAATGATAAATCTGTTTTTCACCGGAGTTCATAGTAGGTGGGTATTGTTTATTGGATTTAAGTATATGGTTCGTGACGCAATACTCCTAGAAGTACTTGTAAAGTACAATGCTGATAATTATCTTCAACAGAAATTTCACACAATAATAAACGTCATATCCATCTTAAATGGTCATTTTTTTCCCACTTTCATAATGTTCAAAATCAAAACATTATTTTTATTAAATATAAATGTATCTTGTTGATTATGGCAAAGAAATCAATCATATTCTTTCTTTGCTAACATTATGGTTTCATTTAATATCATTCTATTTCACTTAATGACTAGAGGCTCAGAGATGTCTTTGTCTGGCCTTAAGTCATGTCTTGTCAACAAACAGCTGATCATCGCACACATGTCACACAAAGAAAATCATCCGAATAAATTCCTCTACATTTCAAACACCGATATAAAAACATTTATGATGATTAGTTTCCTTTTCTCGTATGACAAAAAATTCTATACAGAAATGAACAATTGATTTTTCTGGGGGAAACTCTTATTAATTCGTGCTTTCCGTGAACAGACTTGTATGGGGAACAATAGGGGACTGATAATCCTACTCACCAAACGACACCGAAAGCCCCGTAACCTATGGGTCTATCAGGCTGAATATCCTGGGGTGGAACAACTTGATAATAGGGCACAGCCACAGCAGCCGTCAGAATGGCCTGTTGAGAGGGGGCCGGGGCAGGTCCGCCCTGAAAAGCCATTATGTGACGTGCGTGTCGATGGCTCACCACCGCCATATCTTTCATTTGAGTCCTTTCAGGTGTCCGCACGTTTCCGTGTTCTTATTCCTCTATTTACAATTCTACCATTGCCTTTCCTTGCACATTCACAAAGGTGTGTATCTCTCCTGTACACCTGGAGAGTTTGAGGTGCTAGCTTGAGTTAAAACTTAGACATAAAAACAATTTTCAACTGGTGTAGTGGGCTCCCTGACTCACACGCGGAGAGCTCTCAGCACACAAAGAAGTCACGTGATAACGCATAAAACCTTTCCCAGGATGCTATATTATGGGTCAAAGGTCATAAAAACAAAACAGAAAAATTGTATTTTAAAAGAAATGAACTGAAAGATTTCAATATAAGGTTTGAGTCTTTTAAAAATAAATGTTTGTTTATCATATAATGTAAAATGATACTTATCAATCGTTTCGTTTGGCTAAAATGAAATCATTTTTTCGCATTCGAAAGCACGTGGCATTTCTATAAATACAACTTGACCACGCCCCTTAGCCTTTCCAAATCGGAAGCTTTAGCAACAATAGACTTGACGAATAAAGAAATGACAGACAAAGAAGGGTATTTGGTACATATACCTTGTTTTTCGTTTTAAAAGAGCACGGATTGAACATAAGAAACTTTAAAATTAAGTGCTTAAACTACAGATGCATATTTTTTTCGGAAAATATCTGGCCTGCTGAGGTCAAGTTGTTCTGCTGAGTTTGCATGATGATGATCACAGGGGCGAAACTCCTTTTGTTATTAAAAGTGAATTTGTTACCCTGTTATGTATATTGAACGGAAATCTATGCATTGTAAAAGTTATTCGGTAGGCAAACATGGCAAACGGGCGTTTCTGAATTTAAAAAAAATGTATGATCATTTCAAATAGATAATAATTTTTTTTTTTAAATTCTCAATCTCTTTCATAAACTCATTGAATAATGTAAGTGTAAGTTTTAATACTAAGGTATGAATTATAATTGTTATTTTGGTAGGAGTAATTATATATAACTTTTCTTGCATTCCCTACATGTATGCATGTTGAAAGTTTGAATACCCCAATATTTTAATTAAGCTGCATTTCTGTTTTATATCTTTAGATTTTTTTTATATAACTTCATGAGGTATCAAGAATCATTTAAAGAGACTACAAGAAGAAATATCAAAACTAAATAAATGTAGTTCTTGAATAAATTTCAGAATGCATTTATCTTGAAATAAGAGAGGTTTTTTTTCAATGATTCTTTTACATGCATGTTAGATATTAACAAATTATTAATAAAAGAAGTCTCCCCAGAATTTGAAACTTTGCCCTAAATTTTTCCAAGGGAGAAGTGTTGTCTTCCTGAATTTTTGTCTAGGTTGGTTAGATATATAGTCTAGAAATATTGACCTTTCTTGCCAAACCAAGAAATGATGAAAGTTCATAGATCACTACATACCAACTTAGACCACACTGAGGTGCACCTGATCTTTCACAAACTTATCTAATTCTGTAGAAAGAATATGAAAAAATATTGATGATGCACTATAAGAAAGTATGATTGATCCTTACCATTACATTTTCAACATAACAAATGAAAAAGGTGAAAATAACAAAAAAGTGATTGATCTAAAAAAAAAAACAAAACAAACAAACAAACAAACTACAAACAATACAAATCTTTGAACAGGGCATAAAACATGGACCCCTGGAAATTCTAGAGGTGGGATCAGGTGCCTAGGAGGAGTAACCATCCCTTGTGACTGGTCACACCTGCCGTGAGCCCTGTGTATTGATCAGGTAGCAAAATTATTCGGCAAACCACAACAAGTGTTTTCTTCTTCTCATGTATAAGTTTTTGAATAAATTCTGCTGCATAGGAATATAAGAGCAGTACAGCCAATAAAGAAGCACAACTGAATTAGACAATAATAATTGTCTCTTTTAAAATTTAACTTCCTTAACAGCAATCCTGGAATGTTATTTTTACCTTTAAGGTACTGTATAAAAAGTTTTATTTTTTTGTAGTCGTCTCTACAGACCAATAAACTCGTTATGCCATCTGACAATAAATTCACAACAAGCGAGTTTATTGTTCGTAGAGACAAAGGGTTAGGAGGTGGATAAAATATACAGATTGGTTATAGAATATATCTACAATCAGGGGATGAAAGGTAGTTTATTGACCAATGCTGGAAAGTGACGAAATACATCCCCAAAGTGCGCAGAAAATCTTGCGCCATAAATTGCACTTTATTTACATTATGAGATCTGTACTGTTATGGTCAAAGACTTAAATATAACACCATAATGCTACAGTTCTGCAGCAAGTTTATCACCATAATAATGAGTCTTGTTTAAGTGTTAATTTCCAAAACATTGCCTTATGACTGCTGGTTATCAAAATTGTTGTAAAAAGTTAATGATACAGATTTGTGGGTATAATTCTTTCTTTTTTTTCAAGTGCACCAATATGTCCTTTAGAGAATTATGTTGGTCAGTTGATGATTTAAATCTTTTAATTTTTGTGTTTTATACCCTGAATTGATCCTTTTTTTCATAGAATGACTGAGGGATGTTTTCCTCGGGTACTACTAAACAGAGTACGCTAGAGTACGATAGAGTACTTTAAAGAGTACGCTAGAAAAAAATGCGTAGTTTAATGCAATTAAATTGTTTATTTATGTAAAAATAACTCGATTAAACATTATTATAAACTAATATTGCAATATTTATTTCAAAATATTTGTTTTTAGCGCTATTTTGACAAGAAAATCACATTCATGATTCAATGCATAAAACTGTTAAAGATTATTAACACTCTGATCTCGATTAATATTTTGTTTCAGACTTACTAACTTCAACTAAATTTTATCAAAAATTAAATTTATTGCCCTATATAAATATTTTTTACATTAACAATGAAACATTTCAACATGTTCAAGTTAAATTAGATCAGGATCAAACGATAAACCGTCACCTGAAATCAGAATTTGAAATAACTCCTAAAATAAGGAAAACATACAAATCTAATTTAAAATATATATTCATTATGTTTAACTAAAGTAGAAAAACATACAAAAAGTAGTTAAATTGCATTAAATTATTAAATTTTACTAGCGTACTCTAAAGTACTCTATCGTACTAGCGTACTCTGTTTAGTAGGACCGGTTTTCCTCCCTCCTTCCTGTCTTATTTCTCCTCACACTTAAACCACTCTTTTATCCCCACACTTATTGTGTCACCTGCAGAGCAAGAGTGGCACTAAGGGATCACCTTTACCTGGCATCTGTCTGTCTGTCTGTCCATCCGTCACACCCTATATCTCAAGAACTGTAAGAGGTATGGATTTGATATTTTGCACATATATTGCTTAGCACTATGGCTGTTGTAAATTACCATGGTTACCGACCTCGTTACTTTTGACCTTGATCTGTGACTGAATACTTCAAAATAAATTCATAGTGCTGATATACAGCATATTTTTGAGATTTAAGAGATAAGTCTAGTATCCTATTTAGCATGTGCACTGTTTGTTATAAGACAATATGAAAAATACCAAGCAGCATTACAATCCACTTGATCTTGACCTTTGACCTACATTGCAAAAAATATCTCGGGCAGTTTAATTAAACTTATGACTTTTGAATTTTGAGAGGCAGGGTTTAGATAATTAGCATTAATGCATGTTTAAGAGCTCATGATAGTGTACTTTGAAACCATATGATATTCAGTTACCAGACAAACTTATATGTAAGTATTATGAAAATACATCGGGATCGGTATTCCACAATGGATCATGTAGACTAAGATTTGCTGTAAAGACAGACTGAAATCTCTTTTGAATGATTATTGGAAACACATTTAGCTCATGAAAAAGTACTTTGAATCTGTATGATATTCAGTTACCACACAAACTTATATTTAAATATCATAAAAATACATTAGGATCGGTATTCTACAATGAATCGTGTACACTGACAATTGCAGTAAAGACAGACTGAAATTTCTTTTGGAGGATTGTTGGAAACATGTATTAATGAACTGACAAAGAGTTATTTCTAATAATTTCAATTTAATAATAATTATTCATTTGAGGGTTATGGAACAATATTTTCTTTGATTTTCAGATTCTATCACAGTCATACTATCCATGTATGCCATTTTTTTTCTTTGCAGGCAAATTAATGCATGAACTATCAGTCTATAATGCTTATAAATAGTAAATAAAAAGCTAAATGAAGCTACAAAGCAGGCGACACATGCATTCCTTGAAACACTCTAGTTAATATGAACTTTACTTCTTCCTTTCATTTTTTCTTTCTTTCTATTCCTCTTCTTTTCCCCTTCCTCCTACTTAAGAATGATAAGTACATTGAATGCAGACAAAATATTTTTGTGTCATGTGTCCTTTAAGAATGATAAATACATTGAATGCAGACAAAATATTTTTTGTGTCATGTGTCCTTTAATTTTCCATCTCTGTCCCCCCCCCCCCCCCCCCCAACCCAAAGAAATTTTTATAGTGGTAAAAATATTAAAACTATTAACTTGAAATGTTTAAGACTGTCAGAGTTTTCTCCCTTTATAACAGAGTCAAATATTCCAGGCCTATTGTAAACATTTAGTATTGATTTCTATTTAATCTATTGACATTTTATAGAGAGAAAAAATCGTAAAAGTGCTAGACCATGTTTTGATTTGTGGAGGTTTTCTTTAAGATAACAACGCTAGTAAGGAAAAATTGTAATGTTAAAACATAACATTAAATTTAATTTATAATTTTTGACTTGCATGGTCTTATTTGCGAGAGGAAGGGGGGGGGGGGGGGGGGGTTAGTTATTTAAAGTTTAAAACTGTTTATACCTTGTTTGAAATATGGTACAGGTCTTGCATTGAATAAAATATTTTAAGGTTCTATAAATCTATGCAAAATGAATTGATGTCAGTTGTAAGTGTGGAGAAGACATTATATTATGGTATATGATTCCACTTAACAAAAAAAGTATAAGCATAAGTAGATAGTAATTAATTAAAGGGATAATTTGCATATTCATTAACCTTTCAAGCAACAATCATGCAAACATCATAGAAGAAAGAATATATATAACTTTACATGGAAATAAACATGTATTGCTATTTTATCTGAGGAATATCCTACTTAATAGTATAAAAAAATTATGCAGCAAGAGCAATTCTTAGTTATATGACTACATATTGCTGCATTTTCAGAAAGATTTATATATTTTATCGATAATTATAGGTGTAAGATTTAAAAAATTGCATGTCAATTATCTGTTTCCTTTGTGATTCAATGGAAGGGAAGTCAGATCTCTAACAAAGACCTATAAATGTGATATAAATCTAGATTGGGAGATATTTTAATATTGACATTAATTTTTTTTTCAGCATTGTGCATATATATAATGATAATAACTATTTGCCGCTTTGCTTTTGCTGGCACAACGTTATTTGCAATGTAAATATGATTTGTACATTTCACCTCATGTAAACATGGTAAATTTGTAAGTCATTTACAGATGTAGTAATGGCATAAGATTGCTTTTATTTGCCCTACAGGCATATATTTTTATTTATGTTTTACCTTCTCATCAGGTGTATCAACTAATTCTACAAAGTGCTTGACGTGAAATAAAGTGCCCAGGAATCTCGACACTATAATGCCTACAGCTGTCTGTACAATCATTCACCCTGGAACAGTTGCTAAAGCTGCTTGAAGGTGGATAGAATGACCTCATGGTTTTGCACGTGAGTTAAATATAACTGGATCCCTTCTTATGACAGCTTGTTTCTTAATGACTTTCAGATATAGTAAACAGTTGATTAAAATTTTTACTTTGTCTGCCATGTAGCCATAGTTTATTATTGATTTATTTAGGATGATTGAGGATTTTTTTCTGACTTGATTAAAAAGCTTTACTGCATTTAAAGATGGAAATGGTATGCAGTTTGATCAATAAATTAATGTCTTCCTAATGAATATTTAATGTACACCTAACATAATGCCTGTCATGTAGTAATAAATATCTGATGTCTGACATTCTATGCTTGCTTGGATTAAAGAACAGTATACATGTATAGTCACTGTGACTATAGGTTCAGAAAATGGAGCTCGATCTGCATCAAAACAATCACACAGTGGTCAAAACTTATACTCAGATTATGTTATGATGAAATAATCTCCTAGATCAGGTTTTTAATCAAAAGACATTGTTTTCATAAGAACATAGGTAAACATTGGCCTATAATAGTATTTAATTTCAACTGGGGCATAGATTTTTAGACTCAAGTGATGAGCTTTTCTGATCCAAAGTTAGAGAAATTTCCTTAACATAGTAATTTTAGCTCACCTTAGTCATTGACTCAAATGAGCTTTTCCATTTAAAATTTGCCCATCTTTCATCTGCTATCTTTAGATTTGCCTTAGGTCTGTTGTCATGCATTTATCCAGGATTCTTCTCCATAATGATTTCAATTAAACTTGCAACAAAGCATCTTTCAACTTTTGGTAATTGGGAATTGAAATTTCTCTATAATTAAAGTTGTCACCTTTTTTTTCAGATTAATGAAATATTGAGTTTGATTAATAAAAAAATCTCAGAATAAAAAGATATCTTCCTTAATATTGATTGTAGATTTGATTGTGTTTAAATCATTACCCTAGAGCTTAGGTGGGGCTGCAGTAGAGCTCAGTATGGGACCACAATAGGGAGTCAAAGTTTTTCATAGGAATATATATCTTAAAGTTTAAACAATTTCTCCAAGCAATATGTCATAATAAGCGAAATTTATATGCATTGCCATTTCATGAAAAATCAAATTAGTTCAAATCATGGACCATGGGTCTAAATTGGGGCATAACAGGGCTTAAGTCCATTGGAATTTTTTTTTACTTATCTTTTAAAGAATGGCAGTTCTCTGAGGTCCATGCATGTAATTAATTAGCTAAATTGATTGTTTTCCAATCTAATTAAAATCAGACTTTTCTTAGATCTGTGCAGAGTGTGAAGTCGGATTTTGATTAGATTGGCTTGTTTTCCCATATATAGTTAGCTGGGACTAGAGTGACGTAAAATAAGAGGATAAAGTTTTAGAAAGGAATATAAAGGAACAAACAGTTGATGGACAACAATGCTCACCATTGCAACATTTCTTTCTGACAAAGGAATTTATAGGTAAATGAAACCACTACATTCCTCCCTCCTTAGATTGCCTTTGCTCTCAGAGACACACACCCTAGCTTCTTTAGCCCCTGGCAGGACTTTCACCTGTCCAGCAGTGCTCAAATTGGATTAAATGTAATGGAAGGAGGAAATTTATGGACTGAATCAACATGGAACCCTTGTATTATTAGTCAGGTGCTCTTAAACCATGCACTAAACTATTCAGGTTGATATCTATGGTCCATATACCCCAAACCACTATACATGTATATATGCTTAAAAGTATTAAGAAGGATTTTAGATAGAGGATAGTATTGGCATATGAAAAGTATTTTATTGCAACTTATTTTTAATGGCCTGCCATGAAATGGCTGGGGAATATAGTGCTACCTCTTTCCATGTGTCATTCTGTCAAAGTTTTTCCTGACTTTTTTTTTTTGCTATGGTTGTAGATAATGAGCTGATTTTTGATGTGTTTCTTGATGACTTACAGATCAAGTTCAAGTTTTGTGAATATTATTTTAAATAATGAGCTATTTTTACAGTTATGGCCCTTAGACTATGAAAATTTCTAATAATTCATTGTTCTCTATTCTGCTTATTGTAAGTAATGAGTTGATTTTTTTTATAATGTCTCTGACTATTGACGACTTACATCTATCAAATGCAACTTTTCAACTTTTTTGTTGATTGCATGACCCATTTTTACAAAAGTTATGGGACTTTAAAAATTTCTCATTATTTATAGTTTTCCAGACTTCTTTTTGCTGTGCATGTACCCAGTAGTTAATGAGCTGATTTTTTGTATGTCTCAATCTTGATATCAATGACATATACAGATCCATTTGAGTTTTAATGTCATGATTGGCCCATGAAAGTTTAATGGCCCTTAGACTTTCAAAATTTCTATTTCACAGTTTTTCAATATTTTTCTTGTAGATAATGATAATCTGTGTGTCTCTTTATATTGATGGCTTACACATCAAATATGAGTTCTGTATTAATCAACCCATTTTCAGAAGAAAAAAAAATCACCCAATTAGATTGTGAAAAATTCTAATCATGCTTTTAATAAGTATGTTGTGGTATATAGAAAAGAAAAGAAGCAATGATATTTTTTTAAATTTTTGTGCCATTTCCATTTATTGTTATTTTCACACTCTTGGAGTCTTTCACATAATGAAAACTTCCAATGTCAGCAGGGGGCATTTGTGTCACACTGACACTTTGGAATACATTACTATAATAATGATTCATGTACTTTTGTTTCAGTCATGCATATATCAAAACTATTGATATATAACTGTCTCTAACAAAAGTCAGAAAAACAAGGGAAATCTACATTAAAAACTATTAGAAACATATGGCCTAGGAATGTAATTTCATTCATGCTGATGTGAATCATGTGTATTTAATCTAATTAAACTTTGCAGGTTGAAGTAGGGAGGATGATCATGCACCTATGGAGAAACAGCTGTAGTGGTACGTTCATCTTCACAGAAATGATAAAACTATGATTGATAAAGTCAGTACATTCCATCAAAGATTCTTTTTTTTTTTTTTTTGATACATCTATAGAAAAAATCTGTTGATTGTAAATGATGTGTTATTTTGTCGAATTTACTTGGTCAGTTTCAATTTCAATTATCTTAAAAGCATATTTTATCTAATTTTATGTATTGACAAACAGTTGTTACGGGCATTTTAAACAGCTGACTTTTAAGTAGGTCAATACCCATGTACCTCTCCATTCCTTAAAAGTAATGAGCCTTGATCGTCTCCTTACTCAATTTTAAGGAATGGAGAGGTACCCAGACATGACTCTTGTAAATTCTATAACTCTTCTTTTTATAGGTGCCATAGAGTCATCAACCCATCAAAAGTAGCAGAAAGCAGCATTTATTATTCTTTGTAAACAGTCCCTGATCAACTTTATTACTATTGTTTAGTAATATGATGAATAAATAGGAACATCAAAGTCACTGAGACTATAATTTTTGAGGATTAAGAAGCATAAATGGTGAGTGTATAATTAATTTTAATCCAAGTGTAATTTATTATGCATCCATCTACCTACTCAATTTAAAACCAGAAGTTCTGACAATACTGTAGCTCTACTGGTTTGTATTTAAAATTATAAGGAAGAGAAAGATGAATTTTCAGTTAGGAAGAATAACTCGATCCTTTCAATTATCTGTTTCTTTGTATTGGTATGGCATAACAAAGAATTTGATAAAATGAAGTGCATTTAAAATAAATATATTTACAATAAAAGCTGCCACTGATAAGAAAATCTGTCTATAATTTAAGGTAATGATACTGTAGAGAATGTGGACATTTACATACCTGAAGTGAATATAGAACCAAACAATAAACAGCATGGAGGTAATTGAACAACAAAACTGTGACCACTTCAATATACTTTAAAATGAGTGACAAAAATTGCTTCCTCTGTTCAAATTGCGATGAAAATATTTCATTATTAATATATTTTGCAACAATTAATCAGTGATAGAACTTGTAAGAGACAGAAATACCTTTGCAGATATTTTTTCATGCATGTTGTATTCCTAACATGTATATTTAGGTATAGCTTTTTTCTTGATTTTTCAAGCTGCAGTGAATTAAATTTTAGTAGAAATAGCTTTCTATAAACCTACAGAAATTATATTTAACTTGTCTGAACAATGTCGTATGGTATGAAAGTATTATAAGTAGGATTCATTGCTTGGCTACTCTTGAGCAAAATGTATATCCAAAAGTCACAACCTCCACTAATTTAGAATTATTGTTCTTTATAAAATCTTAAAATTTTATCTTTAGAATTATTGCTTTTTCCTAGAGGTCAGGTAAAATGCTAATTATGCACTTTTGTGACATCTTCATGTGTACAAAGTTTATTGAAATTGGACCAAACCTCTAGAATTTCACAGAATTTTTTATTTAGAAGTTCACAGAAATTTTATTTATCTTGTGGAGTCTACTTGTATACTAAGTTTAACTGAAATCAAATGGAAACTATAGGAGCTGTAGGAAAATTGTTTCCAGAGAGATGGAAGATGAACAGTTTAACATTGTATAAACTCTTTGGGTCTTTAATCAGTAGAGCTACATTTTTAATTTCGATTTTTAGAGCTACCCTTGTCCATGTAAATGTCCCTTTGTCTCTCTTTAAATTTTGAGCAGTAAGTTAGAAAATGTATATTCTTATTTGCATCATGCATTGGTCTAATGGAGACTTAAAAAAGCTTGGATGTTTTGAGGGCCAGGAGGTCAAAGGGTTTAGCTTCTGTTGCTCAAGAAAGATTTTTGTTTTCCCTCCACAACTTTTGGATGGGGATAGGATGTTCATATTTGCTCAACACGAAAATCTCTTTACTATTTTGAGCATTACAAAGGGAGAAGTTATATAGCTTCATATACAAGAGAAAAGCATGTGTTTCATCACATTGCTGACAAATTCCCCTCATCATATTTCACCCCCATCTTCTGTTAGATTGTCATTACAGGAAAAAACTGCATTTAAGTGAGAGAGGGTTGTTCCCCTTTCAACCACTGATGAATGGTATCAATTATTGAAACCATTTATATCCAGTGTTTAAAACACGAAGTGATAAAATTGGAGACATTTTGATTTTTAAAGAAATATAATGCTGATTATTTTTTTCAGACTTGACAGATTGGGAACATTTAACTATTATAAAGAAAATTTCTGAATTTTAACATTATTTTACCCTTGGAAATCCACTTTAAATTTATAGTTAGTTTAAATTATACTCTTTATCATAAACTCAAAACATAGAATGGATTGAAAATTGATTTTAAAAAAATATTGTGGAAGAGCTCTTTTCAAATTGGCTCCTATGAAACCCATAAGAAACACTTGATTTCTTTTAAAGCTTTTTACAAATCAGTATTTCATTTTTGTCGTGCATCATTATAGCAAGGCATAAATTATCAAACAAACAACGAAGAACAACCTTGCATACTTAAAAGTGAACATATAGTAAGCTTTCCCTGATTAAAATTCAACTGTTGTCTGTTGTCATTGTCATCATCATAAACTTTTTTACAATTTCATCTTCTTCTCCAGAATCACTGAGTACCCTTGGATGAACATCCTCACAATGTTAAGGTTTTGTGATTTCGGAACTCCACACAAACCCTTGACATAAGTCGCTATTTAAAAGTTGGGCTAGAAAGCTACTATTTCATTTGTTCCTGGTCTAGGACTGGAACCAATCAGCTACTATTTCATTTGTTCCTGGTCTAGGACTGGAACCAATCAGAAAACAGCTTTTATTGTTGGAAAGTTCTGTAAACAAATATGACTCATCTTTAAAATGGAAAGTGTCAATATTGTAGAATTTGTGACTAGTTACATTAAACAAAACATCGAGGATAAATTTTTGGACGATTGTCCTCCTAAAAACCACAAAAGATATGCTCTGGAGTTGGGCCATTTGAAAACGACAGATTTGAAAAAATATATTCTCATTGGTTAGTTTATAATTACCCATTACATCATGTACAAACCCAGCTTTTAAATAGCGACTTATGTCAAGGGTTTGTGTGGAGTTCCGAAATCACAAAACCTTGACATTGTGAGGATGTTGGATGAAGGGAATTCATATTTGGCCCTCTTCCAAGGGGAGATAATAATTGAGTGGGGTCATTTCATATCTTCTTCTCATTGAAAACAAAAGATGAAAATTATAGAAAGCTGTCTGACATAATTTAGATCCATAGTGTGGACTGAAGTTGTTCAAATCATGACCATCCGGGGTAGGGTAGGGCCACTATGGTTAATCAAAGTCTTACATAGGTATACAGGGTTGTCCTTAAGACCCGGGGGCCGGTAAATTTCCCCGCCTATTATGATGTAATCCCCGGTTATTCTCCTCAAACCCCTGTAAGGAGGAACCCTAGACCCCCTTCTACTTTTTTAAAGTCCCCTGCTATTTCGATTCTTAGGGACAACCCTGGATACATATATATATATATATATATATATATATATATATATATATATATATATATATATATATATGTATATATATATATATATCCCCTGCTATTTCGATTCTTAGGGACAACCCTGGATACATATATATATATATATATATATATATATATATATATATATATATATATATGTATATATATATATATATCCCCTGCTATTTCGATTCTTAGGGACAACCCTGGATACATATATATATATATATATATATATATATATATATATATATATATATATATATATATATATATATATGAAGAAAAATCTTCTCAACAACAGCAAAGCCATGGTCAGTCATATTTATATGGAAACATCCACTTAAACAATAAAATGCTTTCTTTGGTTGTTAGTACAGGAATTAACGTCGCAGCAATTGCAGAAAAAATACATAACCCGCGTAAGCATTGTTTATATTTATATCTTTATTAAAATAAAAACATTCAAAGTAAATTAAACAGCAAAGCCATGATTAGTCATATTCATAAGGAAACATCCTCAGATAGTGTAGACTCATATTTGTTCAAAACATGACCCCAAGGGATAGGGTGGAGCCACAATGGGCAATCAAATTTTTACATAGGGATATAAAGGAAAAAGAATCTGCTGATGAAAAACAAGAAGGGCCATAGTTACTCAGGTGTGCATTATGGCCCATGGGCCTCTTGTTTAAATTTATCTGAAGAAATGTTACTCTGAAGACTATTGTGGCCCTTTTATCCTCTAATTTTATTGACATCATACTATCAAAACTCACTTTAAAAACATATTGTCCTGTACTGTGCAGTAAATCACGAGCTGACACCATTGTCAAATGAGATGAATGTTGAAAGGGTTTGATGAACCATACGACCAAAAAGTGTTTGATAATTTTATCAACTAACTGTGTTTGTTCATTGCTTCTTGTTGACAGTTTTATGTTTTACATGGCTATATCAGTCCTTCAATCTTAAAAAAAAAAGGCAAAACAAGTATGTTTTGCAATTGTGAGGTCATGTGCAATAAGCCACTGGCTTTAAATATCAATATACAATTCACTTAATATGGAAACTTTAAGAAATGCCTTAACCCCTCGAACAGGAACAAATTAGATAACATATAACTCTCTACTTGTATGTGCATGGTACTTGCAGACAGTTGTCTAAATTGAGAGGATATAATTTACATTCCAGGACTGTTTACCTGACCATTCTTTATCTTGTCTATATATACTGTTACCCAGAGACTGAGGATACCTGCCATATAGATGTCTGATTTTAGGAATGTGAAGTAGATCTCTTGTGTGTGATCTATGCTGAGGATCCTCCCTGACATCTTTATTAATTTAAAACTCTGCAACAGGTAAGATGTTTTCATGACAAACATGTAAATTTTCATAAAATATTTTTTAACAGAATTAAAATTTTTGAATTTTTATTTGATGCACTCTTTGAATTTATTTAAATTTGCAAAAATCATTAGATAAAAACATTGATTCATTTACTTGCTCTCTTTTTTCTATTAGTAACCTCTACCAAAATTGTGAAATTTGTGTCCCTTCACTCTTGCTAATATGATCAAATTTTGACATTAGATCTTGAATATATATATACATGTATCTTCTATATTCAAGTACATAATATGTGCAATAATTTTTTTTTACAATTTTTAGCTCACCTGAGCCGAAGGCTCAAGTGAGCTTTTCTGATCAAAATTTGTCCGTTGTCCATCGTCGTTGTTGTTGTTGTTGGCATCGTTGTTGTAAACTTGTCACATTTTCATCTTCTTCTCCAGAACCACTGGGCCAATTTCATTCAAACTTGGCACAGAGTATTCTTGGGTGAAGGGGATTCAAGGGGAGATAATTACAAAATAGCAAAAAATTAATGGCATCATTGAAGAATCTTCTTCTAAAGAACCAATGGGCCAGGAAAGATGAAACTCATATGGAATCATTGTCAGGTAGTGTAAAGTTAAATTTGTACAAATCATGTCCCCCAGGGGTAGGGTGGGGCCACAATGGATGATCAAAGTTTTACATAGGAATATATAGGACAAATCTTCAAAAATCTTCTTCTCAAGAACAGCAAAGCTGTGATTGGTTATATTTATGTGAAAGTATCCTCAGGTGGTGTAGATTAAAGTTTGTTCAAATCATGACCCCCAGGGTTAGGGTGGGGCCACAACGGACGGTCAAAGTTTTACATAAGAATATATAGGAAAAATCTTTTAAAATCTTCTTCTCAAGAACAGCAAAGCTATGATTGGTTACATTTATGTGAAAGTATCCTCAGGTGGTGTAGATTCAAGTTTGTTCAAATCATGACCCCCAGGGGTACGATGGGGCCACAACGGATGATCAAAGTTTTACATAGGAATATATAGGACAAATCTTCAAAAAATCTTCTTCTCAAGAACAGCAAAGCCATGGTGGGTCATACCGGTGTTTATATGGAAACATTCTCAGATAGTGTAGATTCAAGTTTGTTCAAATAAATAACCCCCAGGGGTAGGTGGGGCCACAATGAAAGTTCAAACTTGTAGGGAAAAAAGTCACAGTTAGTCAAAAAAAAATATGTAAGCATCCTAAGTTAGTGTAGATTCAATTTTGTTCAATTCATACCCCCCCCCCCCCACTCCCTTTTAGGGGTAGTTCGGGACCACTTATGTATTTAAGATTTTCAATACTAAACTGATTTTTGCGTTTTTCCTAGCCACAGTGCTCAGGTGAGCGATGTGGCCCCTGGGCCTCTTGTTTTAAGCAATATGATCTACTAAAATTGATATTTGTGTCCCTTCTATGGGCCCTGAAAAATGAAATAGATTAAACTTTTAACAAATCTTCTGTGTCCTTGTATAGACTTACCCATAGATTATATTCCCTTGCATTACTGATATTCCACTCCCCCCCCCCCCCCCCTTCTTTGGCTCATTGCACAAATTAAGTTAGATATGTTAAAAATGTGTTGAAGCTTTTTAAATGTTCTTCTCTCATGAACAAATAACAAACTATGTATCTGAATACATTTATGAGCCTATAGCCTTCTACTAAAACAATTAATGTAATTCTTATAATAGAGGTTATATTTGTGTTTAAAATGGAAAAAAATGGGATCTGTCAGATCTTATTGCTTCCTTTATTTCTATGAAATGTTTATAATAACTATGCCACCCTAAATATAAAATTAGTATTGAAATGTGTATAAGAATGTCAGACTCTGTCAGAAACTTTGAAATAGAGAAACATTTCATATATATTATTTATATATTTTTTATAGTTATCTGACAAATAGATGGTCAATGTTGGCTATGGCACAAGGTCATTTGGGGAAGGTCATTAGAGCATGCAGTATAAAATTCTTCTCAGGGTCATAAACCTTTGTAAAAGTTAAACATTTAAGGCAATGTAAGCTCATTTTAAATTCTCTAAATCTAACTTTCTAGTCATGCTAGTAATTGGAGGAAAATTCCAAAATGTCAAGGTCACTGGAAGTAAAGCTTGAAATTTTTTGGGGGGCCATAAGTAAGAAAAAACAGAGGAGATACTCACTTATAATTTGAAATAAAAATATCTTGTGTAGCAAGTTTGTCAAGAAAACTACACAATATGTCCTTGGTTTACCCACTGAATGTTAATTCGCTTGATAGCGTCCTTGATTCTAAGGTCCTCAATATTGGAATGACCATTTAAAAGAAACTTTTCTTAAATATTTTGATAAGAAGTCAATGAATATAAGAAATTATAAATTGGATCAATAACAATTTTGCCTTGATAGTTATTTGCCACCTGTGATAGGTTAAGCAAACACAAACAGTCATTTCAAAAATGAAAAGGAAATATGATACTGTTAACTACCTTATCATATCAAATTGATCCGAACTTTTGCCATAATCAATGTAATTACTTCACAGCTGAAAGAAGTCAGGAAAAAAATATGTTTTTTTTTTTTATATGAATATTTCAGGAAAAAATGAAGATTGTTTTCTTGAGTGTGCTCCTCTGGGGGAGTGTCCTTAGTCTGGACTTTAATTACCATGACAATGTGCGTCTCCAACAGTTCCTCCAGAACATGTCTAGTACCTACCCCAACTTGACCAAGCTGTATAGCATTGGGAAAACTGTTGAAAGTAAGTAGAAATGTGTTGAGATGTTTGGATGTTAGGAATCTCTGTAAGTTTTTTTCTCTGTTCAGTGAATTCCTCTCTTTCAAAAACCTACCTGTCTATTCACAGAAACACACAGGCTGATTATATTTATATAATATACATACTATATATTCATGCAAATGACATCATTCAAAGGATTTGATTTTTCTAATTAAATGATATATTTAAAATCAATTCTTGGTAGTTATGCTACATATTTACCCTCCTGGGGTAGAAATACATATAAGTATCTACAATCATTTTCAAACAAGTGGAAAAATTTTCTGTTCAAAAAGTTTCATGCTTGTCAATGAACAAAAGCACCAACAGAAGGTAATGCCAACTGTTTTAGAAAAAAAATAATTGACATCATTCATCCATCAGAATATGTTCAGAATGTTCACAAATAAGTGCTGTGAAAATTATGTTATTCTTTGAAATTTTAGTTACTATTGGTTATCATGTGTGAAATAGATTTTTCACTTCTGTAATTACATGATTACATGACTTTCATGTAATTATTTAATTACACCTTATGGAAAAGGTCCGTTCTGGTACAAAGTTGGTTACTTCAGTAAAAACTGTGTAATCTGACACCTGTGCAATCCATTTCACTGTCACTGTGAATTCCGATCTTTATTTTTATTCTTATTTTACTATTTACCATGTTCTTCACAATTTGTTTATTCGAAAAATTTGTCTCCCAGTGCATGCCGGATTAAGCAGGTTTCACTGTATGTATGATTTCAATAGTAAAGTGATATACACTCTATGAATCTGGATCTAAGTTTAATCTGTGGTATTAAATCGGAAGATTTGAAGAATACAAGAAGTAGCATTTTCTTGGTTCTGCATGAACACATTCTAATAGATTAGAGATGTCAGTCCTTTTCTCCTAAAACACTGGGCTCTACTTGTTGTTTGCGCTTACTGATCATTTACAAATTACAACATATTGAAACTTTTCACCCAAAAGAAATATTTTACCATTTGACTGAAATCTATTGTATTTCCACCTGTAATTAAGTTATAATGTGAATCATCATACTTCTCAACATATTTAGCTTCACTTCTGAAACTATACTGAACCAATCTAACCTAAATTTTGCATGCAGCATCTTTTACAATACTTAACAAAATTTTGGAATTCAAAGGTCTCCATCCCCCTGGGGTATGAGTAGTGGGAGCTGCAGTGTTGTAGCTCTCTCCAATATTTTTAATCTGATGTCTTTAGGAGAAAAAAATTGAGAGGGCTACATTATACAGTTAGAGTAGTGGGGCCAAATTTTGTAAAATTGATAAATATTAAACTTAACCATGATTTAGGCCTTAAGGTGTGCCTTCAATGATTATGAATGGAAAATGAATGGTGAAATTTTTTGGGTATTTAACACCTTATTGACAAACTTTATTTTGGATGATCATGAGACATCTATCAAAACTGTGAAATTCAAGTAAGAGAACAAATTAAAATGGCAACTTGCCAAGGATAAAGGAGCAGAATTTTGATTTAGATCCTGTTATAAATCACAATGTTATATCTATTTTTAATAGCAGATTACTCTTCTCTACTTAGATTTGTTAAGCATAAAAAAAGGTTAAGCAGGTAGAATTGGTAATTTATGAGTTTCTAAAGCATTTTCAAACAACAAGAATATATTGTTTGTTTTGGACATATTTTATTGACAATATGTCAAAGGGATTGGACACAAGTTCCAAAAACTTGGGTAGTGATCTTCTAAAATTTTAACTTTCAAGCTCAGACATTAGTCACTTATCTTTGTTATTGTTTAATGTGAGGGGTTGATCTAAAAATAATGTCATTTGAGGTACAGTTGAAAGACATGCACTAACAAAACTCTATTATCTTCATCATTCAATTCATGTTAAATACAGTTGAACTCTGGTATCTCAAACATCAATATCTTGAATACCATGATATGATAAAGATTTCAGTTCCTCAAAACATGGCTCCTCAGGGGCCAAGAAAGATCAAAAGTTTTTCATGGAAATACAGTATATAGTAAATATTAAAAATAGTAAAAAAAAATTTTTGAGAACCACAAGGCTGTAAATTTATCTGCAATCATCGATCTTCATGAATGGTACATATTGATTTATATTTGTTTAAACCATGACCCCCAAGGCAGGGATGTGGACAAAAAGCAAGTCCAAAGACTCACTTAGAAATGCATCAGAATAGTCTATACAAATCTTTTCAAAGAATTAGTCAAAATACAAAATGTCAAAATTATTATGTAAGCAGTCTCAACTAGTGTATATTTAAGTCTGTGCATAAAAAGGGTCTTACAGCAGGGGTGGGACACAAAAATGTACTCTTAATACGCTGATCTATATCTGGAAAAAAATGTTTTCTCAATAAGTATGGGGATCAAATTGTTAGACTTTAATGAAAGCATCCTTATGATATTTTGATTCAAGATTGTTATGTATGGCCACAATACAGTGGTGTTGCAGTGATTAATAAAAATCATATTTCTGTGAAATTCTTTTAAAACACTACTAGTCTTACATGAACATCACTGTACAATAAAAAAGGGACAATTTCAAGTCCATGTGCTACTTTCTTTCTCTTCAAGTAAAAACCGTTTGTCAATGAGCATTAGTTTGATCATATTCTTCTGATGGTTGTATGTATCTTATACCCAAATTGAGAAAATTGTTAAATAGAGCCAAACCTCATTATCTTGTACCTCGTGGGACCAAGAAATAATCTTTGAGATATGCAATGATTTGAGATATCCAGGTTAAAATACATTAAGATCTTTTACCTCACTTCAAAGTTCAAGATAATGAAGGTCAACTTTAGATATAAATGCAATTGGCACAGCCCTGAGTGATTTAATTTTTGTGCTCCTTTGGTCTTGCCAAAGTCAAATCTATTTCAAATTTAAGGCATATACTACAAAATAGTTTTGTGCTGGATTGTACTTTTCCATTATTGAATGAACAGTAAAATTTTTCACATTTTGGATGTTCTTTCTATTTTCAGACATGGATCTGTGGGTTATTGCCATTGGAATAAATCCAGATAGACACGAGACACTGCGACCTCATGTCAAATATGTAGGCAACATGCATGGGAACGAGGTAACCATTGACATCTTTTATTTATGTCAAGATGTTTTTATCAACCCTTAAAGTCCATTCACACATTTCTATGAATGCATGGTGTTGATACTGGAGTTTAGATCTTAAAGGTTAATTGTGTGTCTGTCATACTCAGTTTCGTTGTCATGCCTTTGGAACTAATTACTTTTTCATATTTTCAACAGTTCCTCTCCAGAACATGTTGGCCATTTTTTCATGGGTCAATTTCTTAATAAGGTGACACAGAATGTTCAAAAAGACTGAATTCTGAATAAAAAAAACTTATCATTTCTATGTACAGTACAACTTGGTTATCATGCTTATAGCAAAGTCCTTGGGACTTGTGGATTAACTTTGCTATATCCACAATTCATCATTATCCAATGGCATGTAAAAAAATAATTCATAAACATATAATTATAGAAGGAATTCACAGGATATATGTTTCCCTTCCAATGACTACCAGTTATGTTAAAAAAGTTAAAAGTTAAAAATACATCCTAGTATTTTTGAATTGAGCTTATTTACTGGAACCCTAGGCAATCATAACGGTGGTAAAATATGATTCAATACCAACATGGTACATGTTTAGTAAATATCAGTAATAAATACTTTAATAATTAATGTCAATTTATATCTTTAATTATTTGGACTTTAAAAATTTTCCTTAAAGATGTAAATTTCATTATCTGCTGTTTTCAAGTTCATTTAACCGTATAATTTTTTCAAAGAATTGTTAAGAATGTAGCCATGCAGAGACCAAAAAAAAAAACCCATTGCAATTAATATCTGTGGATTGGCTGTATCCGTCTTTGTATAAAAAGAGTTTGAATAAAGGTTTAATACAGACAGTGATCCTGCATTGTATTCTCATATTCCAGTTGCCACTTATTTAAATGACTTCGTTGACAGGTTGTAAGTCGTGAGGTCCTGCTACATCTAGTGGAATACTATCTGACGTCATACGGCAACAACAACACAATCACACACTTCCTCAATAATACTGTAGTCCATATCATGCCCTCCATGAATCCAGATGGTTTCAGTCAGGCAACTGTGGGGGACTGCTATGGAATTATAGGGAGGCAAGTATTTATAAGCTGCTTATTTATATGTGTACTGTGGAATCATAATTGTTCGTGGGGGACCAATGTTTGTGGATTTTGTGGGTGATCCTTACCCATGAATTCACATCTCCATGTACTATAACTTAGTCAATGTATCAGGTGATCAAATCTTCTATATACACAAATAAGTCCCACAAAGTTACATTCCCACAAACAGTAAAATTTTGTTTACCTACAAACTTAACACCCCCACCAATTAAAATGTTTCCACAGAAAAATAGACAGACAGTTTATTTATCAAGAAAAAAGTTTTTGTTTTGTTTTATCATAATGAATTTAATTAAGTTATATATTTCATTTTGTATACTGGTATATATTGGTAGAACAATTATAAACAATTGGGATTGAACAGCAAGCATAAAATCTATCACCCAGGCTCATCCAGATGTGACATAAATTTCTCTTCATAATTCCAGAAGTAACAAGAATGGGTATGATTTGAACCGGAATTTTCCAGACTATTTTGCTGTAAATACTGCCCCGATCCAGCCAGAGACCTCCGCTGTAATGAACTGGACTCAACAGATACCATTTGTCCTCTCAGCCAATCTACATGGAGGAACACTAGTTGCCAACTATCCCTTTGATAATTACCCAAATGGTAGGAGGGCACGAGTCAATATATAAGCTTACAATATCAAAAATGGTTAAATTATAATATACATTTATTTACTGTGTTTCAGGGCAATGTGTGTTTTGTCAGACCCAAGAACCAAACTGTTTGCCAGAGGCTGTTAAGCTGAAGGCGATCAGTTCGGTTCGAGGGGTCGACAAAAGGCATGTTGCCTGAAAGCACAGTCAATAAAAGTTTTGTTATACCTTTTATTTTAATTTTTTTGACATACATGTATCTTGTGCTAGCTTCCATGATGTAGATTTCTTTCACCTGCACTGCAGTTAAGGTCAAGATCTAGTAAATGAAAGGTGCCTACAGATTTATCAAATTTGAGAAATAAATTCCTTTAATGATGCTTAATAATTTTAGCTTGGTCAAATAATGTGTTTTGGGGCATATGTTGTAGGTAAACAAGATGAAAAATCATATTTTAAACTGTCATTTTCAATGAAAAATTAAGAAAACCAGTCATGAACATGGGAGTTTTTTCCATATCGGACAAAGGAAATGTATCCAAATTGCTTACAGTCTCTCAGAAAATGGTAATTTGTGTGTTCCTGGCCTCTTCTTTAAAATAATGTCAAATTTAATATAAGTATCGGGGTTACTTTTCAAATGATTTCAAATTGAATTCCATGAAAATACCTTATTTTCTACAGAATTCTATCAGAGCCATAAAGTACAGGAAAAAGAAGTTGAAATTGATTATGACGTCATAATGGATCTAGCACCACAAAGTTAGTCTAAATCATTTACTAGATCTTGGCCTTAAAGTAGGTGAATTCCATCACTGTCAAATACCAATGAATGCAAATAAGATTTAGCTCATCCTGCCTACAGTGTGATGTAAGCGGTCCAATATCTCATCGGCAGGTCCAAATTTCACTCTGCAGTCAAACACTGAATTTTTTGGGACCGCATATATAAGAAACAATTTTTAAAGGTATAACAATGAGAATTTCAACAGGTACATATGAAACTAAACAGGCTCAAAAATTAAACCTACAGAATATACATATATAAATTTCAGTTTCTTAGAGTCAATAATCTAGAATCACAAGAATTGAAATTTTTAATGCAATGCTGGAAGTATCAAATTGCAAACATTTCAAAACAAAGAAATTTATGAATTGTGAACATCTAACACTCAAATGTAACTCGATTTCTTTCACTTTATTCATATTTTTTTCAGCCAATGGTAATCCTAAATATGTGACTTCTCCAGATGATGATGTATTTATTTCGATATCTAAGACGTATTCCTACAAACACGGCAACATGCACACAGCTAACCATTGTGGGGACAAATTCCCAGAAGGCATAACCAATGGTGCTTTGTGGTATCCAGTCACTGGTATTTTCCTTACTTTAAATTGTTTCAAAATGAACTTTTGATATTCAAAGCTCTGTAAAGTACAGGAGCAAATATATTTTTTAGGTCATCCGAGTCACTCAGGTGACCGTTTTCGATCTATATTTGTCCATCATTTGCTAGTCGTGAACTTTCGAACATTTTAGCTTCTTCTCATAAACCACAAAACCAATTTCAACAAATTTAGCTTTAATGCATCTTTGGGCAAAGGGGGACGAAAATTGTGAAATTCATGTTCCCTGCCCCCTTAATTAATCTTGACTTTTAATATAATAATTTCATATTTGAAAAATACTTCTTAAAATAAAACAGGTTATTAGACTTCAACTTGTGTTGTGATTATGATATAAATATCAATAATAAATACTCAATAGATTATAATTGTTTTATTACATGTATGTATTTAAAATGTTTTGTAACATTTAAGTATTTTCTATACACTTTATACACTTCATTATTATACATTTGCTGTGTTTTTCTACTATAACAACTATGAAATTGATTTTAATGCTACTTGCGTAGAAATTTACATGAAGAAACTCGCGCAAGTGCGACCTTACAATGAGGCTACAGAGACATTATTTAAAAAATATATTGATATTGGGAATCGAGATATTCAAAGTTTTTTAAGTTTTAAGTTTATTTTTGCTGCTTTTAAAGATGTAAAATGTAAATATAAGGAATGTTTTTAAGTTCGTGTAAATTATTGGTGTGTAAATCACACAGACATTTAGTTTATATTTGCTGCTTTTAAAGACGTAAAATGTAAATATAAGGAATGTTTTTAAGTTCTGTGTGAAATATTGGTTGTAAATCACACAGACTTGTCAAATATGCATTTTTTTTGAAGTGAAATAAGCCTACGTGACAATTAAGTCTGTGTGATTTACAACCAATCATTCACACAAAACTATGGAATATTCCTTAAATATATAACAATTACACTTTCACTCCAAGCAATACATCAGTTAAATTGGTAAAGATGTAGGGTGGAGAATAGATCATATTTAACAATTAATTATAGAAATTTTAAGTTCTCTACTCTTAACACATGCTGTGATTAATATGACAGATTAAGCATCCCTGGAGATACTTGTACACTCTCAGGGTGTTGGTGAGATGTTGTCCCACATAGAGATTGTTCTCATCATCCACACACACACTACGGGGACGATTTATGCCTTGTTGATGTCTGAGTAATAGAGATAGAAACTGACCGTCCTGATCAAGAAGGTGAATACAGTTACTGTTACTATCACACACCAGGATGTGACCGAGGACATCAGTACAGATTCCATAGGGATAGAACACTGACTTCTGACCTGTGTAGGAGAACCTGTGTTGTCCTGATTTATTCACCACCACTACTCCCTTATTATTGTCTGATGTACAGATATCTCCATTGATGTTTTCTGTGATGTAGTTTGGTCTACTATACAGTTCCTGTCCTTTGTTATCCCTCTGTATGTTTTGTAGTTCTTTTCCTGTCTTGTTGTACCTGGTGACTTTAGCCTCTCTATCCTTCACCTTCCCCACCAGTAAGTCCCTGTTAATGTGGGAGGAGTGTATGCTGAGTGTTGCCCAGTATCCAGTTTTAATGAAATCAGTGATATTATCATCCTGTGTTATCCTGTTGATGACATTCTTGTCTTTGTTTGTAAAGATCAGATCTCCGTCCTGTATGACTGTGTGGTAACCTTGATCTCTACCACTGGTTTTTATCTTTTGTATCTCATTCCCCTGTAGATCTGTTTGTACCACGGTACCCTCACTGTCACTGATCCAGAGTCTGTCCGATTCATCTTGGGATACATGGTGTACATTCCAAACACCTGGTATATTGAACTCCCTGACCTTGGTGACAGTGGAAGATAGTGTTATTGTTTGTTTCTTGTCAAATTTCTTTCTGTCTTCTTTCATCTGTTTATGTGTAGGTTTCATTGCTGTATTGTAGACACTTTCAATGGGCCTGATTTCTCTCTTCTTAGCCTTAGTGTTGGGGACATGTATTTTACCAAGTAATTTGGCGACATCAGTTTTGCTGTATTGACCAGCAGTAAATCCTGGTGTGACATGTTTTGTTGTCTCTGGTATGGATTGGATCTTTGGTTTCTTTTCAGATATTAATTTCTGGGATTCTTTAGAGGACAGGCATATGTGGAGCTCTTTGACAAGGTTATTAAGATAAGTGATGTAATCATCCAATGTCTTGTATTGGGTGTTTAAATCTTCTAACAGTGAATGCTCTATCTGGTTTACCTGCTTGATATTCTCAGATACAACTGTGTCCACCACACTTTTCAGGGACTCCCCTTCAATTTTCATGGATGTTCCGATGTTGTACATGATGTTTTTAATTTCAATGGCATCTTGTTTTATTTCTTTCTTGAAATCTTGTGATATGGGAAGAAAATACTCATGAATTTGGGAGAGTTCTTCCTTACAAAGCACTAACTTTTATGCATAGTTTGTTTCTAGATCAACAAATGTATGTCTTTGATGGTTCCCTGATGTTGCACATTTGGAACACAGTGGGGCTTGGCATTCTTCACAGAGTATGTCCACATCTTTATTGGGGTGGATCTTGCATTTCTCCACAGGAAGTTGGCATTTACGTTGCTCGTAAGGAACCACCTCATGGTTCTTGTTTTCTGGACTTTTCAGATGTTCATCTCTGCATTGTTTGCACAATCTTTGATGATAAGGGTTGCAGTAGAACTCGCTATTGCTGTCACATTCTTCAATGCCACATTCCAGAAAGGCTGTGAGAGGAATACCCAATTTAGATAATGCCATCTGAAAATTAGGAAGATTTTATGTATTGAAGAATATTGGAGTACAAGGTGCATTAGATATTCACAATGTATATACTTGCATAAGAATTGCAAAAGAACTTGATAATGGTTTTAAAGAGTATAGTTTAATTGTCAAATATCTACTAGTATATATCTTATCTTACAATGCTTAAAATTTACAACAGTAACCTCTGTAGAATTTAAATGGAATGAATTCTAAGATTGTAGTACAGTAAAACATGCTAATGACGAAGTGCCAGGGACAGATGATTTTAAATGTAATTATGTTCCCCAAACGAAGTTTGGGAACATATTGTTTTTACTCTGTTTCTTCTTCTTATTATTATTAGGTCTTCCGTTTTCAACGGAAGACCTATAGTGATTCTACTGTTTCTTATTAGGTCTTCCGTTTTCAACGGAAGACCTATAGTGATTCTACTGTTTCTTATTATTATTGTTCTTATTCTTATTTTTTTGACTTTCTAATTTTGTGCACGCGATTTCTCGAAGACTATTGGATGGATTTACATGAAATTTTCAGGAAAAGTGTGTTGTAACATGAACTTGATCTATCTGAGAGATTTTTTGGAAATTCTCTTCCGGTGCCAAGTTACAGACCATTTTCTGATTTCAAAATGACATTTTGTCCGCGGATAATCTCAAGAACGACAAGAGATATCAATGTCAAACTTTCAGGGATTATAGTTCGTGATAGGTACTAGCCGGGTCGCTACTTTTCGTTCGTCGTTTGCACTTCCGGTCGCTTAAGGAAGTGATCAAAGAAATCGTAAAATTTCAACTTTCCTTTTTTAAATTAATACTTACATCACATTATTGCATCTCTTTTGTAGTTTCGAAATATGTTAGTCCCACCGGAAACAAAAACGTCAACTTCCGGTTATAAGAGAAAAACGACATAATTTGAGTATTTTTCTTTCCCATTAATATCTTCTGTAGATAAAGTATTTGAAATGAATTTTAAATATGTTATTCAGACTAAAAATGTCTAGAGTAACGTCAAATATCTTTGTAAAATTCACTTCCGGTCGCGTGTTTTCCTGTCCTTAAAATGAGAAGTTGTTTGAGCAAGATCTCGGAAACGGTAAGAGATTAAGACACCAAACTTTTATATGCAACAGACCTTAAGATGTAGGCAAAACCACTTGGGTTAAGAGCGTCAGTCGTCACTTCCGGTCGTCACAGGAAGTGATCAAAGAAAACGAAAATTTCAACTTTTCTTTTTTTAATTATAAATTCCATCACTTTATTGCATCTTTTTCGCAGATTCGAAAGATGTTCGTCCCACCGGAAACAAATACGACAACTTCCGGTTAGAAGAGAAAAACTAAATAATTTGAGTTTTTTAACTTCCAGTAAATATTCTATATAGATAAAGTATTTGAAATGAATTTCAAATGTGCTATTCAGATTGCAAATGTCTAGAGTAACCTTAAATATTTTTTCAAAAATTCACTTCCGGTCGCGTGTTTTCCTGTCCTCAAAATGAGAAGTTGTCTGAGTGAGATTTCAAAAACAGGTAAAAGATTAAAACACCAAAATTTTAAGAGTAATGGACGTTGAGGGGTAGGTGAAACCATTTGGGTTCAACGCGTCAGTCGTCACTTCCGCTTGTCACAGGAAGTGATCAAAGAAATCAAAAATTTTAACTTTTCTTTTTAAAATTAAAACTTACATGACTTTATTGCATCTCTTTTGCTGTTTTGAAACATGTTAGATTCCACCGGACACAAAAACGCCAACTTCCGGTTTTAGGAAATAAACTACGTTATTCTTATATTTAACTTTCTCATAAATATCCCTTATCAATGAAGTACCTGAAATGATTTTATGCATGTTGTAGATACTGCAAATGTCTAGAGAACAGTCAGAGATTTTTATAAAATTCACTTCCGGTTGTGTGTTTACCTGTTCTCAAAATTAGAATTTAGTCCCACAATATTGTTCGGCAACAGTAAACGACTGAGGACTAAAACTTTCAGGACTGATATTCAGTCATCAGTTTATTTGAATCGTGAGAAAATCTTGCATCGCCGTTACTTCCGGTCGTGAAAGGAAGTGATGTAAAAAAGTGAATGGTTAATGGTTAGCACGTTGGAACTTCATGCTGACGATTAGGGTTAAATCTCCAGAGAGTCTGAATTTCTTTTATCACTTTTTCAGCTTGAA